AGCGGACTGTCATTTGACCTGCCAAATCTGGAGTACCTTCACTACTCTGATTTTGCCTTGTATGACTATCCACAAGTTAACTTGGAATCCCTTGTTGAGGCGAAGCTGGATCTTTATCCGGCTATACATGTTGTGAGGCCGGATGTAACGAATCTCATTACGGGGATTAGAAATGTTGAGATCCTTCATCTATCTTACGCTTCGGTTGGAGTAAGTTAGTCAATTTATTTACATCGTTTAAAAAAACTCTTGGACATTATTAAAACTGTGATTGTGTTTCAGGTGATCTATTCATGCTGTAAATATGGGCTATTTCTACCGGTATTCAACAATCTGGTTAGTTTATCTTTTGGGAGTAAGGATAAACGAGGTTGGAAATTGCTTGCAAATATGCTTAAGCAGTCTCCAAAGCTTGAAACTCTAATCATCCAGGTATGCAAAACCTAAGAACAAATACATATACACACGAACTTAGAGGTTGATCATTTACATACATTTCTTGATTGATACTTCTTCAGGATCTGAATGGTTACCCAGGCAGTGTCTCCATGCCTCTGAATCAAGTGAAGGTGTTGCATATTCTGAAATATGAAGGAACTGATGACGAGTTTAAACGGTTGAAGAGTTTTATTGGGGGAAAAAGTATGGCTGAAGTTGTGGATGAAGGCGTATGTTTGCAAACGAAAAGGGATCTATTGATTCTTCTTGGAGTTTGAGTTTCATCAAGTACCAGATCAAAGTAGTATATTTCATCTTGTTTATTTTCATATATTTCTATGCAACTTTTAACTCATTAATTGTTTCATGTCACGTTAATCACTTAATTGTAAAATTCTCGAATTTAAATCTCTGTAGAGACTAGTTCAAATAAATCAACCCATATTAAAGTTGCAAAGTCGTATTTCCAATGTTCCGTACTCTATTAAAGGAAAACTAGTTTTTACTCAGACAATGTTCAAAACTTCTGCCGGCATTTCTTCATTCATTTTTTAAGGGATAAGAAAACGTTGCCGTTTTAGAATTAAATACAGTAAATTAATATTTATTAATTTATAAAGAGTTTCGTTTTAGTTGTTATTTTTTTTTTAAAAAATATGAGTTAAAACAATTTAATCTAAATAAAATTAATGTTTTGCATGTTATAAATTTTATAGTTTTAGACTTGAACATTTAATATCAGAGAAAAAAAAAATTTGATAATAAATAATAAAGATTAAAGATGAATACACATATACAAATGATATACATAAATTCAAATTTATGAATAGTAGCCTCAGCTATTATATTTAAATAACATATACGGCTATTGAAATGAAAATTATGCATATTTTAATTTTGAAATTAGAAAAAATATTGGCTATTTTTTTAAAAAAAATGATAGGCAACACAACAATAAGATAATTGAAAAACACAACATAACATTTTTTATATAAAAAAGTTAGTGGTGAGATCTAACATAAATTCATTTAAAAAAAACAATAAAGCTATATTATGTATATATATATATGTATAAATTTACATGATTATTGATTTATGATAATATTAGGACCATATTTTAACATAGAGATTTCTAAAAAATTATTATCTTATTATTTTATCGAATTTGGTCAATTTTTACATTGGCGCGATTTGAGACCGACCAAAATTTTTATTTTATCTTGTTTATTAATTTATCGAGTATTAATTTATTGAGGTTTTATTGTATGTGAGAACATCAACAAAACTTTACGTTGTGCCGTTTTTTTTTCAAAACATGTCAAACCAGGTTTACAAACAACACACAGTTTAGATTATTCTAAAGAGTTTCCCCCATATTTTAGAGTTACGATTTTGGTGGCTTTGGTTCACAGAGTTGATGTATAGGCGACGTTGATCTTTAGATCTTTTTTACCTTGACAAGAAAACTAGGTTGGTAGCTGCATTCTTGTTTTTCTGCTTCACGGCTTTTTTTCTTTGAGGCCGAGTGACGGACAAGGGCCATCATTCACCTTTGAAGATGTATAATTGTTTAGTAGTGCTTAGATGATTTCATTCAAGCAAAATTGAGGGAGTAGGGACATACCTTATTCGAATAATCGGATCTAAATCTTTCGTATTTACTACTGTGACTGATGTGTTGTCGTTTTGATATCACAGGCCTTGTCCAGAGTAAGTCATCCAGAATAGTGCACCATCGTAATCTCCTCTGGCGTATTTATGTAGTTTGTAGGAACCACCACGGGGTTTAGGCGTTATATTGTACCTAGCTCGCACACTCATTACCAAGAATAATTTTGGTATCATATAGTCTCCAAATTTCTCTAGGTCTAATGTTGTCAGTGATCAAGAGCCGATCCGAGAGTATTCTTGAGCAAGAGGACTTAAAGATTTTTACAATTGCATCTTTTCGTATCCTTTTCAAATTATTTATTTATTTAATTAGTCATTCGGATTCAAGTTCAATAAATTCTAAATAATTATGAAAAATATAAATTTATGAGAATTAAACTAATTCAGCAACAGTAAAACAAAGAATCTCGGTTGTGTACTAGAGAGAAAGAACACAAATTTATTTGGTAATTTATATATTCTGCTGCTATCCCTATTCCTTTTTAATTTAGCACAAGAAGAATTGGTAAAAAAATGGAAAAAGACGATTACTTTTGACGTTTAAATTAGGAAAGTAGACAGTAAAAACCCTATTTTGACTTACCTACGGGAAGTATTCATATTTAGTAGATTTGAGGCTAGCATAGTATATACTAAATAATTTGCAAAGGAAAAGGGATCTATTGATGCTTCTTGGAGTTTGTTTTCATACAATTCTATGCAACTTTTAACTCATTAATTGTTTCATACAATTCTATGCACAAATGATCTAATGACGCTTCATGGAAGTTCAATTTCATCAAAGTGCCACGTCAAAGTCACACGTTTAGTCTACTAAACAAGTAACAAACCAATCGAAAACTAACCAAATTGATTTCAGTTCGGTTCGAACCGTTTCGGTTGCCAACGTGTTTGGTTCGGTTCAATTAAAATGTCCACATTTAACCGATCGGTTTTAAAACGAAATTCCTAAACCCCCAAACCCAGAATTTCTTTTGAGAATCGATATTCAAGATATAATTTGAGAATTTCTTTTGAGTTGATCTTCTCTGATACCCTCTGCCATCTTTAGCATCCTCATTCAATTTTGTGAAAGCACGAACATTTAATCCAATCCAAAAAAGCTTGAAAGATTGTTGTTGAATTCTTTGCTGTCTTTGGCCATTTATTGAATTATTGTTTCCTGCTACAATGTCAATTCCGCTATCTCATGTAGTTGATTGCTCAAACCTTTGTGATTAATCCAGCAGTTGAATCACTTCTTGTTGCAGGCACTTTTATCTCTATGGATGCCAAAACGTTTGACACAATCTGCTCGAGAGATGCAATCAGCTGGCTCCCTGACGAGGTTCTGGGCAAAATCTTGTCCTTGATTCCCACAAAACAGGCTGTTTCAACATCTGTTCTCTCTAAAAAGTGGAGGACTATCTTTAGATTGGTGGATAATCTCGAATTTGATGATTTTTTCTCGCTGCAAGCCGAAGAGGTCCGAACATTAGGCCTTTGTAAAAATGTGAGGTATGTGTTTACGGAGGACTTCAAGAATTTGGTGGATCGAACTCTGGCTTTGCAATGTGATTACCCGATCAAGAAATTCTCTCTAAAATGTCACCTTAGCAAGTACGATGAGCGTCAGAAAACTTGTGTTCGCCTCTGGATATCTAATGTCGTGGGGCGCGGTGTTTTTGAACTGGACCTAAGGATGAAAGATCCGGGTATTCACTTTCTGCCTCCTCATCTCTTTGCAAGCAAAACACTGGTTAAGCTGACGCTAGGGACACAGCTCTGTCTTGGAAAGCTTCCTTCATATGTGTCACTTCCATCTCTTAAGTCTCTCTTCATCGATACAATATTTTTCTATGATATTGAAGATCTGTCTTATGTGCTACTTGCTGGTTGCCCCGTGCTTGAGGAGTTATCAGTTCATCACCATGAATTTATAGCAACGCCTCACACCATATCGAGTCCAACCGTTAAGAGACTATCAGTTGATTACCATTCGCCTGATGATGTTGATAGTTCAAGTCATATGTCATTTGACCTGCCAAAACTTGTCTACCTTGAGTATTCTCACTGTGCCTTGGGTGAGTATTGCCAAATTAATTTGGAGTCCCTTGTCGAAGCTAAGCTGGACCTTGGTCTGGAAAGAAAGGTCCTTAGGCTGGATGTAACGGATCTCATTATAGGGATAAGCAACGTCCAGACCCTGCATCTTTCTCCTGATTCTGTTCATGTAAGTTTTCCCATTTTCTTTCTTTCTTTCGTATTAAAAACCTTGGACATTTATTCTTGAACTGTGTTTGTATGTTTCAGGTTATTTATTCATACTGTAGATATGGGCTACCGTTGTTTGAGAATCTTGTTAATTTATCTTTGGGGAGTAAGAATAACGAAGGTTGGAAACTGCTGGCATATCTGCTTAAGCAGTCTACAAAGCTTGAAACTCTAATTGTCAAGGTATATTTAATACGCAAATCCGATGATGAACAATTATATTTATATATAACTATGGACTTAGTGGTTGATCATTTGCATACATCTTTTTGATTGATGCTTCTTCAGGATCTGAATGGTTACACTGGCGATGTCTCCATGCCTCTGAACAAAGTGAAGGTGCTGCATATTCTTGGTTATCGAGGAACTGCGGAGGAGGTTAAACAATTGAAGAGCTTTCTGGGGGAATTTGAATGTCTTGAACTGGTTCAAGTGGATGTTACAGAAGCTGTAGAGGATGATGGCAAAATATTATTGCAAACCAAAAGGGATCTAATGATGCTGCTTGGAGCTTCACTTCCATCCAAGTGCCAGTTTAAAGTCACATAAGTTATCTACTTTATTCATAATATGCTATGTAACATTAAAACTCATATAAATCTGGATTCTATACAGAGTCAGCTGTAGAGTTGAATGTTAGACTCTCAGGGCTTTTAGTGAGGGAGGTTCTTGTAGGGATCTTAAGGAACTTGAGTTACGCGCACTAGCTTATAGATTCTTCGTGTGGTCTGGAGAACAAGAGTGTTTCAGGCGCACTGTGAATTCTTATCATTTTGCTGAACATTTTGGGGAAAGGAAATAAACCGCTCGCTGCTCTTACTACGTTGAACCATATGAAGGAAGTAGGAATCGACCCGAGTGTCCTCCATTACACTACTTTGATAGACGGTTTGAGCCGCACAGGGAATTTGGAGGCGTGCAAGTACTTTCTAGATGAAATGGTGAAAGTTGGGTGCAGACCGGATGTTGTTTGTTACACCGTGATGATAACAGGGTATGTTGTATCTGGAGAGCTCGAGAAGGCAAAGGAGATGTTTAGAGAGATGACGGTAGAAGGGCAATTACCGAATGTATTCACATACAACTCGATGATTCGCGGGTTGTGTATGGTGGGAGAGTTAAGAGAGGCGTGTTGGTTGTTAAAGGGAATGGAATCTAGAGGGTGTAACCCGAATTTCGTAGTGTATTGTACACTGATTAGCTATACGGTCTTTCAAGTTTCCTCTTTTTTTTTGCTCTCTGAATTCTCCTTAATTCCACTTAGGCATGTCGATTGGGCTAGCCCGGCCCGGCCCGGCCCGAAACCTGCATATGTTTGAGCCCAGCCCGGTTCGGCCCGTAAAAATTTCGAGCCTAGATTTTGAAGGCCGGCCCGGCCCTAATAGAGCTACAGGACTTTTACGGGCTTTCCTTTCGAGTAAAAAAAAACCTTCTAATTTGTAATATCTCTTGAAAAAAAGAATCTATGTATAAAACGAATCAATCCAAATTTAAATAACCACTAAAGCCAATTTAGTTTTAAAAAAGTTTAAAATCAAATAAATAATCTAAATAAATTGTTTAAATCCACACCAAATAAAATATAAAATCAGAACACTTATAGTAAGACACAATTAGAAAACTAGGTTTAGGGTTTTTAACTCTATTAAAAAAATCTTTAACAAATCTCTTAATTAAACAATAATATTAACAAACAAATAAAGTTAAAATTTCTTTTTAAGGGCTTTTCGGGCCGGCTCCGGCCCGGCCGGGCTAAGCCCTAAAAATCCTTTACCCAACGGGCTTAGCCCGAAATGCCCAATTTTTTTCTGGACATATATTTTTAAATCCGAGCCCGCTGTTTTTTAAGGGCTGAACCAGGCCAACCCGCGGCTTTGGCCCTAATTGACATGCCTAATTCCACTTAGCATGCTCATATGGATGCTCAGATCTATATACTTGTGAAAAGTGGATGTTATTGTTTTTGTGGACAGTGGATCTTCTCTGATACCCTCTGCCATCTTTAGCATCCTCATTCAATTTTGTGAAAGCACGAACCTTTAATCCAATCCAAAAAAAGCTTGAAAGATTGTTGTTCTGTCTATGCCAACCATCTCACGTGATTTGCAATTGTGGAAAAGTGACATTTGTTCTTCTCTCCGAGTGCTCAAGTGAGTGTGTTCTCTTGAGCTTCCATATTGTTTTAGATAGACTGAGTGTCTGAGTCTACCATTAATCGCTTTGTGGTGGTATATTGTTCGTTTTCTTCAACTCGTTTTCTTCAAAAAAAGCTTGAACCTTTAGTTTCTTTGCTGTCTTTGGCCATTTATTGAATTATTGTTTCCTGCTACAATGTCAATTCCGCTACATCATGTAGTTGATAGCTCAAACCTTTGTGATTAATCCAGCAGTTGAATCACTTCTTGTTGCAGGCACTTTTATCTCCATGGATGCCAAAACGTTTGACACAATCTGCTCGAGAGATGCAATCAGCTGGCTCCCTAACGAGGTTCTGGGCAAAATCTTGTCCTTGATTCCCACAAAACAGGCTGTTTCAACATCTGTTCTCTCTAAAAAGTGGAGGACTATCTTTAGATTGGTGGATAATCTAGAGTTTGATGATTCTTTCTCGCTGCAAGCCGAACAGGACCTAACATTCCGAAAACATGTGAGGTATGTGTTTACGGAGGACTTCAAGAATTTGGTGGATCGAACTCTGGCTTTGCAATGTGATTACCCGATCAAGAAATTCTCTCTAAAATGTCACGTTAGCAAGTACGATGAGCGTCAGAAAGCTTGTGTTGGCAGCTGGATATCTAATGTCGTAGGGCGCGGTGTTTTTGAACTCGACTTAAGGATAAAAGATGAGGGTATACACTTTCTTCCTCCTCAGCTCTACGCAAGCAAAACACTGGTTAATCTGACGCTAGGGACAAAGCTCTATCTTGGAAATCTTCCTTCATATGTGTCACTTCCATCTCTTAAGTCTCTCTTCATCGATACAGTTTTCTTTGACTATGAAGATTTGTGTTGTGTGCTACTTGCTGGTTGCCCCGTGCTTGAGGAGTTATCAGTTCATCACCATGACTTTCCAGCAACGCCTCACACCATATCGAGTCCAACCGTTAAGAGACTATCAGTTGATTACCATTCTCCTGATGATGTTGATAGTGCTAGTCATATGTCATTTGACCTGCCAAAACTTGTCTACCTTGAGTATTCTCACTGCGCCTTGGGTGAGTATTGGCAAATTAATCTGGAGTCCCTTGTCGAAGCTAAGCTGGACCTTTGTCTGGAAAGAAGGGTCAAAAGGCTGGATGTAACGGATCTCATTAAAGGGATAAGAAACGTCCAGACCCTGCATCTTTCTCCTGATTCTGTTCATGTAAGTTTTCCTATTTTCTTTCTTTCTTTCGTATTAAAAACCTTGTACTCATTCTTGAACTGTGTTTGTATGTTTCAGGTGATTTATTCATACTGTAGATATGGGCTACCGGTGTTTGAGAATCTTGTTAGTTTATCTTTGGGGAGTAAGAATAACCAAGGTTGGAAACTGCTGGCATATCTGCTTAAGCAGTCTACAAAACTTGAAACTCTAATTGTCAAGGTATATTCAAAACCGATGATGAACTTAGTGGTTGATCACTTGCATACATCTTTTTGATTGATGCTTCTTCAGGATCTGAATGGTTACACTGGCGATGTCTCCATGCCTCTGAACAAAGTGAAGGTGCTGCATCTTCTTGGTTATCGAGGAACTGCGGATGAGGTTAAACAATTGAAGAGTTTTCTGGGGGAATTCGAATGTCTTGAACTGGTTCAAGTGGATGTAACAGAAGCTGCAGAGGATGATGGCAAAATATTGCAAAGCAAAAGGGATCTAATGATGCTTCTTGGTGTTTCACTTCCATCCAAGTGCCAGTTCAAAGTCACATAAGTTATCTACTTTATTCATAATATGCTATGTAACATACTTATGTAAATCTGGGTCAGACACTCAGTCTATCTAAAAGATCAAATGTGAGACACTCAGTAGTATTTTAATAACTAATGTACAAATGTGAGATCACCTTTTGGATCACGTACACATACTAATTCATATATAAAAAAATGTGTATCTTTTTAGACTTCAAATGAAACAGAACTTGAGCTATATATAAACGAAATTTCATATTCCTAATAAACCCTAAACTCAGATCATTCGATCTTCTTCTTTCTTACAAGTGCTCACGTTCTATCACATTCAGGTATTGTTGAGCTTCTACTAGGTTAAAGAACCTCTAAATTGTTATATTGGAAAGTTGATCTTAATTCTGTGATCTCTCTTCTCAATCTGTTTCTGAATTTCGGAAAGAATATGTTGACTTGACGCTTTAGGTTCTTACAAGTGCTGAAACTGCAAGTGCATGTATCTTCTTTTAAGCTTCCACTAGGTTATAGATACAGTGAGTTTCATTACACTCTTTGCACTTTACCATTAATCGCTTTCTTCCGGTTGTGTACATTGCTCGTTTCGGTTAATCCAGCACTTAAACCAATCGTGCTTAGCTTATTGATGTATCAGGCACAACTATTAAAGGATTTTTTTTGCATCTTAGTATTATGTTAACTTGTCTTTTTCGTTTTTGATTTTATTAATTGTTAAGTTAACATTTTTGGTTATGTTAAGTTTGATTTCCAAGTTTTAGAGATAAGGCAATTAGAAATTGTATATATACACTCCTCTTAATTATGAGATTAATATACAGAATAACTCTTTTTTTTTTTTGTTAGAAACCTTGTTAAGAAAAGAAGACGTCAGAAAAAGTTTTGATGTACATCTGGTGGAGAAACAATACGGAGGAGCATTATTCGGCTCATGATAATAAGATGGATATAATCGATTTTTTAATCTATTTTTTTATAGGCTGCATGGGCAGTATCTTCGCCCTATACGTCTTATACATTTTATGGAGATACTTGTCTTCATGGTGGACTCGGTGGGCTGCCGACCAGGGACAGGATGTGCCCAGTAGAATTAGATGTACGATTTTTTTTTAATGAATTATTTTATGATGAGGATTTTATTTTAGTAACCTATATAATTAGCATATATCAATATATTTATTTCGCTATTTAGCAATTAAGTTTTCTTTTGTGATATTTTTATATTCAATGATATTGTAACTCTATATAAGCAATATTCAATGTTATTTTATTAATTTCGTCATACTTTGAATCTCCGACTTTTTATTTCTTTACTCAGTTGTAATATTCTTTTTTGTTATTCTTTGTGGTATAATTTTGTCACAAGGTGTAATATATTTGTCAAATATATATCAGTGCGTCATACATCTCATACGCAAAAGTAAAGCCGAGAATTGAAAAAACAAGCAAAGATTCTTCAAGGCACATATTTTTGATCCGACCGACTATGAAAATTAGGGCTTATAAAAAATACACAGACGCACAGGCTCATCATAATTAACTTCATATGTTAGATAAATATTTTCTTTAGGCTCCTAATTCTTTTTTTTTATATAAATATTTTTATTTATTTATTTCACGGCTATAAACCAATGTTTCTTGATCGAGAAAATCTTTTCTTAAATATAATGAAAGAAATAAGCTTTTATTACAAACCAATTGTGTGTCGATAAGTCTTTGTCAGAGTACACACCGTTTAATTTGATGTCCCTAGTCTAAGCTAGGCTGGATCTTCGTCATTCTAAAAAAGATAGAGAGGCCGGATATACTCGATTCTGCTGAAGTAAGTTTTAAAACCCTAACATCAACTTATCAGATAATTAGGAAACTAAAAAATTATAGTTAAAAAGGGGAAGCTAAGGTGATTTCTAAACGACAATGTTATAACGGTAAACGATCATTTCTTCTGTCGTTTTAAATAAGGGCAAAAGGAAAATTAGCTATTCTGAATTATTTAATTTCGGATTTACTTATTCCGGCTATTGGGAATCGAACACGACAATCTCCGTCTCTCTTTCCGCCGTTCTCCACCGTCACGGTTTGTATCTAAGTTCTCTTTAGCCTCAAGTTAAAATGTTTTTTTGCATAGTTCGTTTTAACCTCTTTGTTTTCTACACGCTTCTCAATCACATGCTCTTTATAATTATGGAAATTATGTCTTATTGTTTGTGAGAAAACATCTTCTTTCATCTTTTATATACTCTGGTTGATCAAACTGAAAGTGCGACTTCTTTAGCATCCAGGACAATTTGAGCTTCCACTAGGTTGTAGAAAAACTTCGGTTGCTTGGATAACAAGGTTGTAGTTTACAAATATATGCTTGTTGGTCTTTCAGGCACTTTTTATCTCTATGGATACCAAAAAGTTGGACACTGGCTCTAGAGATGCAATCAGCTGGCTCCCTGGCGAGGTTCTTTGCAACATCTTGTCCTTCCTATGAAACATGCTGCTTCAACATCTCTTCTTTCCAAAAAGTGGCTAAATGTGTTTAGATTGGTGGATAGTTTCGATTTTGATGGCTCTGTTTTGCTGCTCCCCCATAACGATAAACGAGAGAGGGGTGAGAGCTTCAGAAACTTTTTGGATCGAACACAATGTGATTCTCCCATAAAGAAGTTCGTTCTAAAACGTCACATTGGAGATGACAGCGAGATGGCTTATGTAGGTAGCTGGATTTATGATGTTGTTGAACGTGGTGTTTTGGAAGTGGACCTAAGTTTCAAGACTGAGATTGAAATCTCTCTGCCTTGTCATCTTTTCACGAGCAAGACATTGGTTAAACTGACACTTGGAACACAAATTTTTATTGGAGTTGAAGTGCTTCCTCCAGATATGTGTCTTCCAGCGCTTAAGATTCTCTTCATCAATTCATTTGAAGGTGTTGCATATACTTGGTTATCGAGGAACTAGTCAAGAATTGAAACACTTGAAGAGTTTTCTTGGAAAAACGGAATGCCTTGAACTGTTGCAAGTGAATGTTAAAGAAGCTGTGGTGGATTATGACATAATTATACTGAAAACCAAAAGGGAGCCAATGACGCTTCTTGGAGCTTCGGTTTCACCCAAGTGCCAGATCAAAGTCACATAAAATGTATCAGGAGTTATAGTAGAATTCGTTATTTATTTTTTGACCTTTGTGATTTTTCTCCAAAGGCGATTTGACTTATCTTTTTTTTTTGTCTCTCTTCTTCTCTGTTTTAGGAGTCTCTCTTACTAATCATCATATTCATATCATTCGATGAATCTCTTTTGGAATCCTTTTGTTTCTTTTTGGTTTTCTAATTACTTATTTATTTAGTCATTCAGTTTCAAGTTTGATAATTCTAAATAATTTATGAGAAATGAAAATTTATTAGGAGTGTTATTGGTTCCTAATTTATATAGAATTTTGCTAGAGAGTTTTCTGGAGTTTTCTATAATCTTGTTGATTAGTATTTCATAATCTTAAGTTTCCTAAACAATCTCTTTATTTTGATGATATTTTTCATGACTTTTCATGACTTTATTTTGTGAAGTAAAGTGTAAAAAGTCATAAACCAATAACATAATAATTTAATTCATTAACAATCATAGATTCTTTTGTTACAATTGAATAACACAAAACTTTTAATGACTTTATAAAAGTATGAATCCAATAACTCCAGATTTATGAACTTTAGATTACTTTTTACAAATCTTAAATTAATAACACCAAACTACAACAAATTTTAAAAAATTTTGATTGAATAACAATAGATTCTACATAACATGTAAAGTCACTAAAACTCTATTTAAATCACAAACCAATAACATCCCCTTAGTTTTTAGATTAATTCAACTACAGTAAAAAAAAAAAAAAAAAAAAAAAGTCTCGGTTGTGTGTACAAGAGAGAAAGAACACGGATTTATTTGGTACACACTCTGATGCTATATTCCTTTTTGATTTAATACAAGAAGAATTGGTAAAAATTGGAAAACGACTATTTCTTTTGACGTTTAAATTAGGAAAGCAGACAGTAAAAACCCTATTTTGACTTACCTACGGGAAGTATTCATATTTAGTAGATTTGAGGCTAGTATATAGTAAATAATTGATTGGCGGTGCCTAGCACATCAAAGAACCGTATATATGCATCTTATTGTGTTATGTTAACTTTTCTTTTTCGTTCTATGATATGTTAATTTTGATTCCCAAGTTGTAGAGATAAGGCAATTAGGACTTATATATATACTCCTTTTATGAGATGAATATACAAACTAACTTTTTGCAAAGTAACCTTTTGTCTAGTAGCTTTGTTAAGAAGAAGACACGAAAAGAAGTCAAGAAAAAACAAGTTTTGGTGTGGTAGAGAAACAATATGTATCTAGTGGGTGTAATATATTGTGTTGGAATATTCGGTATTTTTGTGACCGTATTCATCTTACTTTGGTTATGGAATTGCTGTGTCGCCGCCGATCGAATACGGGTTACGCCAAGTTCTAATGAGTAACTATTAGTATCAATGTATCCGTTGTTTTTCTACTTTTTAATGAATTCTTCAATGATGATTTTATTCATTTATTAATGAATTGTAACTCTATTTATATATTTAATATTCAATCGTTTTGTCGTACGTATATCTCCGATCTTTTGTATTCAAATTCAAGTATTCAACTACAGTAAAATTACAGTAAAATTAATTTTGATTAAGTGGATCTAGAAATGGGCCTAGCATTATGTAAACTTTTTATGAAGGTTGTTTTGACCTAGTGGGATCCACACAATCCTATTATTTCCTCAGTCAAAAGTCAAACCGATTTCACACCGCCGACACTTTTTTTCTTTTCTTTTCTGTTTTGCCTTTTTTGCTTTGTCAGCTAAACCCACATCACCCAGTTACAATAGATACTGCGCTTAACAGACATCTCACCGTAGGAATTCTATCTACGAGCGCACACCACAACACAAATGGTCCGGGAAGCAGAGTATTATAACCCTATTGGTAACTTTTTCTAATTAATTTTGTTTTTTAAAGGCGAAATCGAGTGAGACACGAAATATGGGGAAGTGGTCCCCACCATTATTTCCATTTTATATTTTCCCTGAAACAAAATAAAATAAAATGTTTCTTCTTCTTCTCTCAGTTTCTCTCTCTGTGTCGAAATGAAGATGCTTTAAATCAATTTTTATTTTTTTTTGGTACTGCATCATTCATAACCATAAAACCATATCCTTCACGCTAGAAACGCTTCTCCTTCTCTTTAATCATCGTTTTATCTCCGTCACTTCATGTTCCGTTACCGTTAACGGCGGGAATTTTTCTTTATCTCCGGTGACCGTGCTTTGTCTGATTCCAGGTGTTGCCAGCTGTTTTTTTTTTGGGGAGATATTTTTTTTTAATTTCTTTATAGTTAGTTATAAGTCAGTTTTGTCTGCTTGGATTTTCATTTTAAAAAAAAGAGGAATTAGGTTTCTTCCGATAGAGAAAGGGACTTGATTTTGGACAAAGGCACGTGTCTGAGTCTTTTATTCAAGCTCCGATCTATAAGATATATGAATTGGGTTTGATTTTGATTTCTCCAATTTTAGCCTCTTCTCCGTGCGCTTGTTGTAACTGGGTTTGTGATGGAAGCTAGAATTGAAGGTGAAGTAGAAGGTCACAGTTTAGGATATGGGTTTAGTGGTAAAAGGAGTGTAGAGTGGGATTTGAATGATTGGAAATGGAATGGTGATCTGTTCGTTGCTACACAATTGAATCATGGGTCATCGAACAGCTCTTCTACGTGCTCTGATGAAGGAAATGTCGAAATCATGGAGAAGAAGAAGAAAAGAGGAGCTGTTACTGTGATAGCAATGGAAGAAGATAACTTGAGGGATGGTGATGATGATGCTCATAGACTTACTTTGAATCTTGGTGGTAATACTGATGGAAATGGTGTGAAAAAGACGAAACTTGGAGGAGGAATTCCGAGTCGGGCGATTTCTTGTCAGGTAGAGAACTGTGGAGCTGATTTAAGCAAGGTTAAGGATTATCATAGACGTCATAAGGTTTGTGAGATGCATTCTAAAGCTACTAGTGCACTTGTTGGAGGCATTATGCAGAGGTTTTGTCAGCAGTGTAGTAGGTAAGTTTAGAAAAGGATTCAACTTTAGTATTGGGTCTTATGTCTCGGGGTCAGTAATCATATTTGGTTATGTCTACAGGTTTCATGTGCTTGAAGAGTTTGATGAAGGTAAGAGAAGTTGTCGTAGACGTTTGGCTGGGCATAATAAGCGTAGAAGGAAAGCAAATCCTGATATAGGCAATGGGAATCCTTTGAGTGATGATCAGACAAGCAATTATATGTTGATTACTCTCTTGAAGATACTCTCCAATATACATAGTAAGTTGTTCATGAAAGTTTCATTTGGACATTCAAGTTCTAGTCCTAAAAAGTGCTCATATCCGTTCTGTGTTCGGTTTGCAGCAAATCAATCAGACCAAACGGGTGATCAGGACCTGCTGTCTCACCTTCTTAAGAGCCTTGTAAGCCAAGCTGGTGAACATATAGGGAGGAATTTAGTTGGGCTTCTACAGGGTGGAGTAGGACTCCAGGCTTCTCAAAATATTGGAAACTCATCGGCTTTGCTCTCACTTGAGCAAGCCCCTCGAGAGGATATAAAACATCATTCAGTACCTGAAACAAATTGGCAAGAAGTGTATGCCAATGGTGCTCAAGAGACAGCTGCCACGGATAGGTCGGAGAAACAAGTCAAAATGAATGATTTTGATTTGAATGATATCTACATAGACTCAGATGATACTACAGATATAGAGAGATCATCACCTCCTCCCACAAATCCAGCAACTAGTTCTCTTGATTATCATCAAGACTCGCGTCAGTCTAGTCCACCTCAAACTAGTAGGAGGAATTCAGATTCAGCTTCTGACCAATCACCTTCAAGTTCCAGTGGAGATGCTCTGGTACATATCTCACCTTTCATCCATTCATTTTTCGTTGCTTATATATAATTCACTGTAACGTTTCTTGGTATGTTTTGGTTGCATATTCAGAGCCGTACTGATCGTATTGTGTTCAAACTATTTGGGAAAGAGCCGAATGATTTTCCAGTTGCCTTACGAGGACAGGTATATAACTTCTACAGTTAGTTGCATCACTGTGTGATTTGGAAAGTGATATTGATGTGTTCTAATATTCGAATTTTCAGATTCTTAACTGGTTAGCTCATACTCCAACTGACATGGAGAGCTATATTAGACCTGGTTGTATCGTTTTGACCATTTATCTTCGTCAAGATGAAGCTTCTTGGGAAGAAGTAAGAATCACTTTCTCACCTCTTTTTCTAGTCTTCCCAAATTACCATCGTCTCATGGAATCACTTTCCATTTCTTTTTTCTGGCAGCTTTGTTGTGATCTGAGTTTCAGCTTGAGGAGACTTCTAGATCTCTCAGATAATCCTTTATGGACTGATGGGTGGATTTATCTTAGGGTGCAAAACCAACTCGCATTTGCGTTTAATGGTTAGTGTTGAGAATCTTTGGATTTCTGTTACAGTGTCCATATTTTTTCTTGAGATTTGAGTATTCTTCTTATTTCATGCTACAGGTCAGGTTGTTCTTGACACATCGTTACCTCTGAGAAGCCATGATTATAGCCAAATCATTACTGTTAGACCGCTTGCTGTAACAAGGAAAGCTCAATTTACAGTAAAAGGCATCAACCTCCATCAACCTGGCACAAGGTATGTATATACTCTTTGAAGCTTGACCCTCCCTATATTTTCCGCTGATGCTAATCGCCATTTCTACAGGTTACTTTGTGCTGTAGAAGGAACATACTTGGTTCAGGAAGCAACACAAGGAGTGACGGAAGAGAAAGATGATCTTCAGGAGAATAATGAGATTGATTTTGTCAAATTTTCCTGTGAGATGCCTATTGCAAGTGGTCGAGGTTTCATGGAAGTAAGTGTACTTTCAATTTCGTGCTCTGCTTTTTCTCTTGTTGCAGTGATATCTAAAGGTGATGTTTTTGCTGGACAATAATATATAGATTGAAGACCAAGGTGGACTAAGCAGTAGTTTCTTCCCTTTCATAGTTTCCGAGGATGAAGATTTTTGTTCTGAAATCCGAAGACTCGAAAGCACATTAGAGTTTACCGGAACTGATTCTGCAATGCAAGCAATGGATTTCATCCACGAAATCGGTTGGCTTCTACACAAAAGTGAACTCAAGTCAAGACTTGCAGAACCAGATCAAAATCCAGAGGATCTGTTTCCGTTAACACGGTTTAAGTTTCTAATCGAGTTCTCAATGGACCGGGAATGGTGCGCTGTGATCAAGAAGCTATTGAATATACTATTCGAAGAAGGAACCATTGATCCATCCCCTGATGTCGCATTATCAGAACTGTGTCTTCTTCACAGAGCAGTGAGGAAAAATTCAAAACCCATGGTTGAGATGCTTCTTAGATTCATTCCCAAGAAGAAGAACAAGACATTATCCGGTTTGTTTAGACCCGATGCAGCTGGTCCAGGCGGTTTAACACCGCTTCACATTGCAGCTGGTAAAGACGGGTCAGAAGATGTGTTGGATGCTCTGACTGAGGATCCTGGAATGGTAAATTTGAATTTGATTTCCCTCTCTGACTTATATAAACTCAAAATCTGTTTTTGTCTGAGAAAAAAACTTCTTGTTTGGTTCAGATTGGTATTCAAGCCTGGAAGATTTCCCGGGACAATACCGGATTCACACCAGAAGACTATGCACGTTTACGAGGTCACTTTTCGTATATTCATCTGGTGCAACGGAAACTCAATCGGAAACCAATCGCTGAAGAACACGTGGTGGTCAACATTCCTGAGTCTTTCAACATTGACCACAAACAAGAAAAGAGGAGTCTAATGGATTCTTCAAGCTTGGAGATAAACCATTGTAAGCTCTGTGATCACAAACGTGTGTTTGTACACACAACGCAACACAAGTCTGTTGCCTACAGGCCAGCGATGCTTTCGATGGTAGCTATAGCAGCGGTTTGCGTTTGTGTCGCCCTTTTGTTCAAGAGTTGCCCGGAAGTGCTATATGTCTTTCAGCCATTCAGGTGGGAATTGCTTGAATATGGAACAAGCTAGTAAAAGTCCTCTCTATACACTGAAGAAGAATCTTCTTAATTGAAGATGTGTTGTTGTGAAATCTATTAGTGTGTTTATTATGTAACTTCAAGTTATTTTTACGAGAATCTATATTATTTATCTTTACATGATTACATGTATGTAGCTTATTTTGATGGCAAACCCCGAATGTGTGTATGTTTTTGCATAATTGTGTGTTTGTCACATTTTTTTTCTCTCTCTTTGATCTTTAAGGGAGAATCACAACAAATCACATAAAAACACCAACCAATTCCTTTCCTTTCTTTTTTTTTCTCTCTGTGACCAATCTGATCAAGTATTGGGCCGAACCTACAAAATTGGGCCAATCTTAAATTCAACCCGGTTCAGCTTGGTTTACTCCACTGAAAATGAAATTACATATTTCTGAAAAATGTTGATCCCACCGACTCTAACAATTAGAGCTTATAAATACAGAGACGCATAGATTCATAAGTTCGTTACTTCATTTTTCTTTAATAGCTCTTCTTCAATCTTCTTTGATCAAATTTGCTTCCAGAGAAAACTCGCCCCATTAACAATGTCGAAGAAGATGATCGTGTTGAAGAGCTCCGATGGTAAATCGTTCGAGGTCGACGAAGCCGTGGCACGCAAATCAGTGACGATAAATAATATGGCTGAGGACGAATGCACCGATAATGGAATCCCGCTTCCAAACGTCACAAGCAAGATCCTCAAGATTGTGATCGCGTATTGCAAGAAGCACGTCGAGAGCAACGAAGAAGAAGATCTCAAGGAGTGGGACGCTGATTTCATGAAGAAGATCGAACCATCCATTCTCTTTGATGTTATGATTGCTGCGAATTTTCTCAATATCCCAAGCCTTCTTGATCTCACATGTCAAACAGTCGCTGCTTTGCTCCAAGCTGATTTGCTCTCAGGAAAAACTCCAGCTGAGATTCGCGCACGCTTCAACATCGAGAACGATTTAACACCAGCGGAAGTAGCTGAGATTCGTAAGGAGAATCAATGGGCTTTTGAATGAGAGCGCGGATCGTCAAAGATCTTGATGCAATGTAGCTGATGATGACTTCGTCTATATCTTTCTTCTTTAGCGTGTGGTTTTCAGTTTTCTTGATCTATTTCTTGCTTGTTCGGTGTGTTTCTTTTGATTTCTTGATGTGTAAGTAAACATTATCTTTGCTTTAGAGACGAATCGTTTGTTGGATTTTGGTATGCTTAACCAAATCTTAAGATCGATGTTGTCAAAATTCTTCTTAAGCAATTCTTGAATAAATGCTCAAGTCAAATCCTTTTATCGTTTTTCTTACTGTAATTGAGTTTTCTAATCCGAAACAGAGTACATGACACTTAATTTCGATATTGAACTCGGTTATTTTGGTTTATACACTTGTATCATAATCTAACCGATGTAAATTGTGAAGATTGAACATTCTAAAATAGAAAGTCTGAAGAGTTTTACTCTTTAAACTTGTTGTTCACTTTGTGACAAAACAGGGGTTTTCTTTTCATTTTCTCTTAAGAATATGGTAAACGTGTGTTACTTTTGAGATTATCAACAAATTGATTTGGCCTATATAATCTCTACTCAAGTTTACAATTATATAAAAACTCGTGTCTAACTTTCTAAGAAAGAAACAATTTGGTGGAATTAATGAAGAAGAAAAAATGTGATGGTTCGATAGGAGGTGCAAAATGCAATCATTATGGTATTAAAATTTGGTTACGTCAAGAGGGGACACATAATAACTCACGGACTATTCACATCGGACGCCAATGAAGTCACGTGACCATAATTTTATACATAAATTTTTAATGATTGTATTTTATACAAAAAACAAATGTTGGTATTAATTCACTACGTTTAACTCTTCTCACAATTGTATTGTATCAGAGCCGTTCATTATGACACGTAGATTCGGATCTGATTTCCTTTTTGTACCGAAATTAGATCAATTGAGCCTAGATCCATCAACGAACCGGTTTAGGATTGGTTTACTCAACAGAATTTTCCATTTAGGTTAAATTAATAATTTTCCTTTCTATACAAAACAATTTCAATTTTCCAAATTTTGAAAGGATTCAAGAATCACACCGACTCTAACAATTAGGGCTCTCTATAAATACACACCTTTTTATGATATCTCTCCATCATCAAAAACCTTCCAAAGAAAAATCGCCACCACAAAAAGAACGAAACGATGTCGAAGATGGTTATGTTGCAGAGCTGCGATGGTGAATCTTTTCAGGTCGAAGAAGCAGTCGCGGTCCAGTCGCAGACGATAGCACACATGGTTGAAGACGATTGCGTCGGTGATGGAATCCCTGTCTCAAACGTCACAGGAGCCATCCTCTCGAAGGTGATCGAGTATTGCAAGAAACACGTTGTTGCTGATTCAGCAACCGAAGAGAGCATTGACGAACTCAAGAAGTGGGACGCAGAATTCATGAGGGCGATGGAACAGTCGACTCTTTTTGATGTTATTTTGGCTGCGAATTACCTAAACATTAAAGACTTGCTTGATCTTGGTTGCCAAACTGTTGCTGACATGATCACTGGTAAGAATCCAGACGAGATTCGTGCACTTTTTGGCATCAGGAACGATTTTACACCGGAGGAAGAAGAGGAGATTCGTCAGCAGAATCAATGGGCTTTTGAATGATTCTTTAGTTTTTCTTTCCTCTTTAGTGTGTTTCTGATCTCTTGATCAATGTCTTTTGTTCTTTATTCTCTAGTTTGTTTTCTGTTTTCTTGATCCATGTGAGACTTCGTAATCTTTCTCTTCCTTTGGAGGTTTTTATATGCTTGAGCAATTTTTAAGAACAATATCAAAAAGTCTTTTTATTTTGTCTTTGGAAAATCTATAATCGATTTTAATGCTACACTCATTCGATATAAATCTCTCTAACAATAGAACAAGAGTTGTGTTCACTTAGTGGATGAATCTTCTTTTGGTGTTTGCTGTATAAGTTGACCTCTCATAGAACATTCTTCAATCTGCAAAACATAAAGAGAAAGATCTTTTAAAACTCTTATACAAGGCAAAAACAAAGGAAGATGATGATAAAAGTTAATTATATATGTAAAAGAAAGGTTTTGTACTAGTGAAGCTTGCGTTTTAAGAAGAGCCACTCCGCAATGTTCTGCCAATGATCTTTCTCTACTAGTCACCCTTGCTAATTCTGTCAACAAACTCTCCATCTCCTTTGCCTGCAAAATATGTATCAACAAGGGAGTCTATAACTTTAGTCTTAGTATACTTATTATAAACAACCAATCTTGAACCAAAATAAACCCTGAGATTGATACTTTACTTCTACTAACCTTTGGCATGTAGTTTCCAACATTTAGTGTAATGCCGTCAATAATCTTTGAAGCAGCCACAAGTGCATCTCCTAACTGCTTAGATTCAACCTGGTTTTTGACAAGCAAACTCTTAGTGATACATGCAGATGATTCTTACTAGTTGATATTACCGAACACAAGATATGTATAATATACCATGATATCCCCATCGAGTGGAAGCCGTAATGAAACATTGGACAAAGCTTGGATTGTTTGCCACACCGAAGTCAAATACTCTTCTTCAATAGCAGACCATTGCTCCAAACATGGAGTCTGTAATAATGTGAAAACATTTTCTCGTAAGTCTCATATGTGTATGTGAGAGTCATTGAGTCAATAATGTGAAAGTTAAAAGTCTATATCTCTAAGCTTACTTGAGATTCTGTAATCGCAAGAAGAGCTTTAGTTTTCAATAAACGTTGAAGCTCTATGCGTTTCCTTTGCACAGAATCATGTAATTCTGATATCTTGGAACCAAAGGAATGGATCATGGTCTACAAGATAAACAAATTAAATATAAACATAATCTTCCTAGTTCAAAGATTTTACCATAAAAGCAGGTCATCAGAGAAACTGACCTCAGTTTGAGCTTTTTGACTTTGAGTCTTCACTTGTGCATTGGCGTTGGCAAATCTCCATTGGAGGTAACGATTGTGGAGTAGTTTCAGAGAATGAACATCTTCCAATTGCTCTGAAACCTTCCTCTGCTTTTTAGCATCAGCTGGAACCTTCGAATTCGGTGCCACCGGAGGTAATGCCAAGCCTAACCGTGAAAATGAAATGCTATCACGACCGTTACAGCTCGACAATGGTGAACTCACAAATCGATTAAGAGAAGAAGATGGCACCGAATTATTGAAAACTTTAGAATGAGTTCTACAAGAAAGTGTCGGAAAATGATCTGAGCCGTTAGATTTAGGTTTCTCTTGAGTGTTGATGATTCCTTCTTTCTCATTAGAGGCTGATATGCCGCTTGATTGGAGAAGTCTCGTTGCGGCGGAAGCGGTTAGTAATCGTTGTTGACTTAGCCGTGATCTAGACGGCGGAGGAACAATTGGTGTAGGAGTTTCAAGCCGGTGAGAATTCTCCTTAAGCGGCTTCAAGTGACTTTGTTTCGATGTTTTTACGGTTTGCGAGAGTGTAAAAGGCGAGTCAAGGCTACGCGCCGCCGTCTCTGATGAGCGATTCTCATCTCCGTCTGCCAGTTTTAACTGACGTCTAAGCCTTTGAGCCGAAACAGAGCGTTGAATCTGGTGGTGCTGATGTTGAAGGTGGTGGTGCTTTGGAGAATTCGACGTCAAAAAGTGGAGATCGCCGGCAGAGGAAGAGGAAGAAGAAGAATATGAAGTAACCGGAGACATGAATCTGGAACTTACTTCTCTAACTCTTGGCCGCCGCGTTGAAGGCGGAGGAGCCGGTGTTGATGGCTGATTTTGCTTAGGTCCGCTGGTTTTCTCCTCCATAACTTTTTCAAGGTTTCTTCAAATCCGCCGGAGATTCCGGTGGCCTGAGGATTCGTCACGGCCTTTTTAAGATTAGAATTGGATTTTTGAAATTACACCAACACTCGGAGAAGAAGATACGTTACGGTTTTTTTTATGAAAATGAGCCGTTGGCTTTGGTCAAAATATAAGACAACTCTCTTTTGTCTCTGTAACGGCGAGTTATTTTGCTTTTTCATAGTAATTATATTAAAGTAACTAATTTGTCAATTAGTAATAGAAGACCAAGCTCACGCCATTAATCAGATTCAAGCACTAAAGAAGTTTTTTTTCGATTGATTTTGTTGTGTGTGAAATATTTGACAAGACAATTTTCTGAAAAAAATATGCTGCGATTGAAAGGATAGATGAAAACAAACTCTGTAGATTTCAAAACACAAATGATAAAATTATTGAAACATCATTTAAATATGTAGAATATGGTTTACAATATGATTAAAAAGAAAAACATGACTGATAAATGGCGAAATAAACTATATGAGTATTGCTATTATATAGGCTACTAACCGAAAATCTTCATCATATACGAAAAATAGTTGATACGAAATAATAGAAATAGTTACGAATTAGTCACGGGTTCAATACGTGTTTGGTCGGCGGCACAATAAAGCGAAAAACAGACCACGATAAGTATGACAAACATAATGATGAAAATTGTGGAAATTAGGATTATACTTGTAAGACCCAAATGAACCGGCATATCGTTTTTTCACCACCCCAAAACTTGTTCTCTCTAGCTTTTTTTCTCGTCTCTCCTTAACAAAGTTTATAGACAAAAATAATTACTTTATATATTGATCTCATAGGAGGAGTATATACACAAGTTTTAATTGCCTTATCTCCACAACTTCGCAATCAAAGTTAACAAAACCAAAAAAAGTTAATATAACAAAAATATTTTAAAAAACAAAATTTAAAAGAAAAGTTAACATAACAAGAATTAAGAATTTAAGATGCAAATAAATGTGATAGCACATTTAGAGATATTGTACACAAGTTTTTTTTCTTATAATATATATAGTATAATTGTCCCATTTTGCATAGTTTCAGCAATCTCAAGGTTTTCTGTGCGATGTATCGGAGGTGAGAGAGTAAAATAAACAATCGCTCATACTAGGTTTTAAAAATGAACAATCTAATGAAAATTTTCTTATAAAGTTGGATCAATTGATTCTGGTGGGAGTGACAACCTTATTGGACGTTTGGCAATAAGTTCCAGAAGTTAGTATTTACCTTTACCATATTGAAGAACGTCATAAGCAACACAAACAAATATGTTTTATGTGACGGACGAAATTTATTTTGGCAAAGGCTGTCAAGATTGTTGAATGATTTTGATGATCTTTGTTTGCTCGATTTGTTTGTGAAGAAAAACAAGGGTTCGTTTAATTTATGTGAGTCTAATTTGTTTTCTTGATTGGTTTGGTTTTGTTACATGATGTGATACTGTGCTTGAGAAGAGTAGCAAACAAATCTATTGATTTGAGAATACAATGATATAAAATAACTGAGAAAACATTTCATAGAGTTACATTATCATTAAATCTAAAAAAAACAAAACAAAAAGATAACATAATTATGAGATGGCGAAACAACTATATCGATATGACATCAAACAAAATTGGAGTCTTCTGGTTTTTGTTTGCGGCCACATAAAGTCCAAAAACAAACCAAGATGACGGAGACAATCACAATGCCTATCAACACACAAGTTGTGATTATCATTGGAAGACCGAACTCCATGTTGTTATTCACCACACCAAAACTTGTTCTTGCTATCTTTTTTTCTTGTGGTTTTTTTAACAAGGTCCTCAGAATATATATATACAAGTCCTAATTTCCTTATCTCCACAATTTGCCGATCTAAGTGAACATAAGTAAAAAGTTAACTTAACAAAAAAATCAAAAGCAAAAAGGAAAAGTTAACTTAACAATATGATTGGCAATAAATAATCCTTTAATGTGTGAATGTGATAGTGCTGCCAATCATTTAGAGAATATTTACAAGAAACCAAGCCCGACCCATCAAATTTTTTTGGTAAGGCCCAACAAGAAGCGAAATATGATGGGTTTATTTTAATATAAATATTATAGTCTTAACTGTCTCATTTTGCAAATTCTCAAAGATTTCAAGGGTTTGCCGTAGAAAAGAGAGTAAATGGGTAACAAAAGAGAAAGACTGGTTTACCATTTACCCCAACGAAAAATAACATTGAAGTTCATGTGAACAAAACAAAAAAAAAGTTCTTATGTGTCGGATAAAGTTAGTGCTTAAATCTGATTACTATATTTATGTTATATGTGTCGGATGAAGTTTTTTAGGCAAAGGCTCTCAAGTTTGTTGAACGATTTTGAAGATCTTTGTTTGTTCGGTTTTTTTGTGAATCCTCGCGTCCGGAGATAGTTTCATCGACTCATTTTAGGAATTTGTTAGTACATTGAAGAAGTTCTTTAAAGGCAGTGAAGAGGAATTTCAAAGAGTTCGTAGAGATAAAATTGTTGCAACTTAATTCTTAGTGCTTGAATCCGATTACTATATTTATGTTTTATTATGTGTGGGATAAAGATTTTTTTGCCAAAGGCTGTTTCTTCAAGTTTGTTGAACGATTTTGAAGGTCTTTGTTTGTTCGGTTTTGTTTTTTTTTGTGAAGAAGACTAGTTTGTTTTCTTGATTGGTTTAGTTTGTTGCGTGATGTGAAAATGTGATTGAGAGGTCAGAGGAGTAACAACATAATTCTGTAGATTTCAGAACACAATGAAAAAATAACTGAGAAAACATTTCATAGGGTTACAATATCATTAAATCAATAAAAATAAGCAAAACAGAAAAAATAACATAATTGTGAAATGGCGAAACAACTATATGGGCCTGACATCAACAAACTGGGCGTCCTCTCGTGCTTGCTTCCAGTAATTGAAAACCCAAACAATAACCGAGATAAATGTGACAAACAAAAAGCCTAAAATTATCGCCAATAAGACTATTATTGGAAGACTGAACTCCATGTTGTTATTCACCACACCAAAACTTGTTCTTGCTATCTTTTTCTTGTGTCTTTTTTACCAAGGTTTTCTATTTATATATATACAAGTCCTAATTTCCTTATCTCCACAACTTGGCAATCAAAGTGACATAAGTAAAAAAAGTTAACTTCACAAAAAAATCAAAGCAAAAAAGAAAGTTAACATTTTATCAAAAACACAAGAAAGAAAGTTAACATAACAAGAAGATGCAAATAAAAATCCTTTAATGTGTGATAGGCACGCCAGTCGTTTAGAGAATATTTACAAGAAACCAAGCCCGACCCATAAAAGAAATTTTGGTAAGGCCCATTAAGAAACGAAATACTATGAGGGTAAGGGGTTTAATATTAAATAATATAGTCTAATTGTCTCATTTTGCAAATTCTCAAAAATCTCTCAAGGGTTTGCCGTACAAAGTATCGGAGGTGAGAGTAAAGGGTAAACAAAAGAGAAAGACTGGTTTACTTGTTCTTCTTCTTCTCTTGCGATTCTCGACATCGAGTTTTGTTTTTTTTTTGTTAGTGCTTTGTTATTAAGGTGAGAATCGAATTTGAAGATGGCGAGTGAAAGCCCTGATGTTGTTGTTGTAGCTCCCGTGGTGGAGAATGGCGGCGCTGAATCCTCTAATGGAAAAGATGAACAATTGGAATCTGAGCTTTCGAAGAAGCTTGAGATTGCAGAAGATAGTAAAGAGGACAACGATGAAGAAGAAGGAAGCAAAGGTGAATAACTTGATTTTAGTTTTTGGTGTTCTGATTGATCAAATGGTTTTGTCTTTGCGTCTTTAATTGATTTGATTGATTTGGAGTTTAGGAATGTTCCAGTGATGATTTCTGGGATTAGTCTATCTAAGCTTGGTCTTAGGATTTCAAAGTTTTCGATTTGATCATTTGTTCTGAGAATGGTTGATTAATAAAAGACTTTTGTTTTTGATTTTTGAAGCTGAGGCTTCAACGAAGAAGAAGAAGAAGAAAAATAAAAGCAAGTAAGAGATGTTTTTTATTTGTTTCTTCTGACTTGTAACTTTTTTGGTGTTTGCTTTAATGATGGTTTTGATTATGTTATAGGAAGAAGAAGGAACTCCCTCAACAGACTGATCCACCTTCGATTCCTGTCGTTGAGCTCTTCCCATCTGGAGAGTTTCCTGAAGGTGAAATCCAAGAGTATAAGGATGAGTAAGTTTCATACCATTCTCTTTACCTTCCTGGACAGCTTTTAGGGAGATCTTTTATTGTCTTCTCTACTCTTGAATCTCTTGGATTTTCAGTCAAGACTCTTCGTTGTTACCTTTATCACACTGTTTGTTTTAAGTCTTGGTGCTTGATCTCTGTTGTTAGTAATCTGTGGAGAACAACATCTGAAGAGAAGAGAGAGTTGGAGCGTTTGGAAAAGCCAATATATAACTCTGTTCGCCAAGCTGCTGAAGTTCATCGCCAGGTTCACTTCTTTTTCACTAAATGACCACAGATTAGAGATTTTTCGTGGCCTCTTTTTTGCAGCCGCTTGAAAGATCGTTTTGGCCGTCTTTTTCAGGTTCGTAAATATGTCAGAAGCATAGTGAAGCCTGGAATGTTGATGACTGATATATGTGAGACCCTAGAGAATACTGTTCGTAAGTTGATATCAGAGAATGGTCTTCAAGCTGGTATTGCATTCCCTACAGGATGCTCTTTGAATTGGTTGGTTATGACATGTGCCTTCAACTTTTTCTTTTCATCAACAATTTTTTGTTCTTCTTCTTTAGTTGCATTTCTCTAATGACTTTTTAACATTCAGGGTCGCTGCTCATTGGACACCAAACTCTGGAGATAAGACTGTACTTCAGTATGACGATGTTATGAAATTGGATTTTGGAACACATATTGATGGTATGATGGCAGAATCTGTTTTCTGCTTTTGTTTTTCATTGATGCAAATTTTCAGATAAAAATTAACATATCTTCTTTTTGCAGGGCATATTATTGACTGTGCATTTACAGTTGCGTTCAACCCTATGTTTGATCCTCTCTTAGCAGCCTCTCGTGAAGCTACGTATACCGGTATCAAGGTACTGATTGTCCTTTTAGCTAATATGCAGTGCCTTATGAATGTACAACTACCAGTAGGATGGAGCAATGTTGTAATGTTTTGTTCTATTCAGCTTGGTTATCACATTGTCTTCATCCTTGTGATCTTTTTCCTCTATAGTGGAATTCTATAATACTAACTATTCAGTGTGAAATCAATTTCATTTAGGCTTTGATTTCTTTGGAACTGTTTGGCTCTTAACCTCCTTGGTGGTTTTCTTGGCTGGTTCAGGAAGCTGGGATCGATGTCCGTCTCTGTGATATCGGTGCTGCTATTCAAGAGGTCATGGAGTCTCATGAGGTTGAAATCAACGGAAAGGTCTTCCAAGGTATCCAATGTCACATCTAGTTTACCGCTCTTACATCAATTCACATTTTGACGTTAATATAATAATAAACCTTAAAATGTTATGTTCTTTTGGCAGTTAAAAGTATCCGAAACTTGAATGGGCATAGCATTGGTCCCTATCAGATACATGCTGGGAAATCTGTTCCTATCGTTAAAGGAGGCGAGCAAACAAAGATGGAAGAGGGCGAGTTTTATGCCATCGAAACATTTGGATCAACCGGTAAAAGAAATTTGGATATTCAACCATTAAAAGAAAAGGCCACCAATGTTTGATCCTCTGTGTCTGTTGTATTGCAGGGAAAGGATATGTGAGAGAAGACTTAGAATGTAGCCATTACATGAAGAACTTTGACGCTGGGCACGTCCCCTTGAGGTTGCCTAGAGCAAAACAACTCCTTGCAACCATTAACAAGAATTTCTCGACTCTCGCCTTCTGCAGACGCTATTTGGACCGCATTGGTGAAACCAAATACTTAATGGCTCTAAAGAATCTATGTGATTCTGGCATTGTTCAGGTAATTTCTCACACCACAGTTTAGATGATGATTCATTTTTCTCGGATCAATCATGAGGTCTAAAAACGTTTAAATCTTGCTCTTTGTTGATTTCAGCCATATCCTCCTCTGTGTGATGTGAAGGGAAGCTACGTATCACAGTTTGAACACACCATTTTACTGCGACCTACTTGCAAAGAGGTTCTTTCCAAGGGAGACGACTACTGATTCAGATCCTCTGTTTTCTCTCTATTTGCTTTATTATCCCATACTGTTGTCGAGATTGTACACTTGCTTGTTTCATTTGTCGTCGTTAACACAAGCTTTGAATCCTTTTATAAAAAGCTTCAATGCCTCTGTTAAAAAACACTTATGTATTTTGCCTTGAACATGAATTTGCTCATCAATCTTACTAGAAGTTGATTGGTAAAGCTTCTTGCTTTGGATAAATTCTTTACCTTAGCCAATTTAACAAGACCATATTTAAATACATATATATGGTAAAGAGAAGAGACCAGAACACTGGACAGAGATCTTAGCCAATAGACTTTTGAGCTACTCGAGGCATTGCCATGGCGGCGACGATAGCTGTTTTTTCCGGTGGTCTGAAAGTGAAGGCTGGATTTCTCGCCGTCCAAATCTCATTGCTTCCTCTCCGCCGCGAATTCCCTCGTTACTTGTCGTATTCGTCGAAGAGGACGACAGTAGCGGCAATCTCCTCATCTCTTCGAGTCTCCGCCGTTTATAACCATCAGCAGCGTAATCGAAGCTCTTGGCCTCGAGTTGCTACTTTCTGTACGGCGGCTCCAGATGCAGGCACGACGGTCTCAGCGGATGAATCGGAGAAGAAGAGCGAATCTCCGAAGGAGGAGGAAAATGTGAAGGAGACGGCGAATCTGTTAGATATTAAAGTAGGAAGAATCGTGAAAGCTTGGCAACACGAAGAAGCTGATTCTCTGTATGTTGAAGAAGTCGACATCGGTGAAGCTGAGCCCAGAATCATCTGTAGTGGTCTCGTCAAATATGTTCCTCTTGATCTCCTTCAGGTTAGCTTCATCGTTCCTATCCATAATTTCAATCCTGAGAATTGGGATCGGATTGTGTGAGAATCGTACGGAATTGTCCCCATTAGATTGACCAATGGCTCAATTTTCGAGACTGTGGCTCTGTGCAGGGTGCATCAGTGGTGGTACTGGCTAATCTGAAGCCGAGGAATATGAGAGGGGTTAAGTCATGTGGTATGCTTCTGGCTGCATCTGACGCAGCTCATGAGAATGTTGAGCTTCTTGTTCCACCAGAAGGCTCTGTTCCTGGAGATAGAGTGTGGTTTGGTAACGAAGAAGATCTCGAGCAGCTTCCTGAACCTGCACCTCCTAATAAGGTCTCTTAGCTTGCAAAGCACTAATCATTTCAGTAATGAAGTCTTAAGTCATGGCATTTTCAAGTTCTGTGTTTTCTTTGTTGTTGCAGGTTCAAAAGAAGAAGATGTGGGAATCGGTGCAACCGCTTTTGAAGACGGATGCGTCTGGCGTTTCGATGCTTAAGGAGCATTTGATGCGGACATCTTCTGGTCTTGTTACTTCCAAGTCTTTACGAAATGCCAACATTTCTTGATTTCTATTAAAAGCTATTTTAAGATGTTGTTTTGACACAAAGAGAGAAAGAACAAAATACCAAGGCGATTTTTTCATTGCAATCAAACTGATGTTTTTGTTGATTCCTCAAAATAAGGTTATTACGAATCAAAAATAACTTTAAAAGGTACAAACAAATTGCGAAATCGAATGTTGTTTCCTCTTCGCCGTTGGTTTTCTCAGAGATCAAGCAAAGACAGAGAAGATATCACCATTGATGTAATCATTGTCCACTAAGCTTACCAAATAGTAGCTGTTCTTCACCTGCACATTCGATTAGATCATCCTATCATCATTACAGCTAAACCAATCAGGGCTGAAAAGAAGATAAGGAAAGTGAAGAAGATTCTTTACCTCCTCGAGCAACTTTCTAGAAGGGTCATCTTCTGGGTACAAGTTAGCCCAGCTTCTTGACCAAATCTCAAACGCCTCGTCTTTCCAGACTTTGAAACTGGCTGGATCCACGATCGTCGGTTGAATAACCTCCTTAGCTGGGAACACTCCCCAAGTAACTGCATTCACATCGGACTCATCGGTGTTTGATACCCAATTCTCTGCTTTGTTCACGGCCATGTAGGTGATAAGAGGAAAAGCTTTGGATTTCTCCACAAGTGTGTCTAACTTATCCTTTGAACAGAAGAACTCCAGATAGGCTTTCTGGTAGACGTAACCACCAGGACCACCCCATCCTGCAAAGTATCAATTGCAATTATACATTTTTGTTATGAGCCAAGTAGATATTCCCAATGCAATTTAACATTACGTTATAAGCTAAGAACAGAAACTCTAGAGGGTTTTAATAGGTTATTAAGAAATGATAGATGAATCATAAGTCAAATAGGAATTTTGTTTTAAAACGTTATGGTATGATTTGTGATCACAGGTATGAGTTTTCTTACCAATAGCAGGGGAATCGGATTTGGCTGCATTGACTGATGGTTGGCTATTGATGGTCAGGAAACCGTTGGAGTTGATTTTCCCGAGTTGCTCGTTTATGATCTTTGTCTCTGGCTGAAGTCCATCTAATTCAGACCATGGACTGCTTTTCAAGTTTCCAATGCAGAGCTCTTTGAATTTCTGCTTTGTGAAAGTTTTTACAAGAAAATGTGCAAGTGAGTATGAGGAAAAGAGACTGAAACAATCTCTATGAGTGTTCGTAAAGGAAAGACTACCTCTTGAACATCTTCAATGCTTTTCAATGGGACAACCCATTCTTGCTGAAGCTTCTTGTCACGTGCTTTTGGGCGTGTGAACTATCAACAAATGCATTTATATCAGCACTAATCAATGAAAGAGATGGCAAGCATACCAAGCATCTCCTTACAAGTGGTAATGGCAGGGTTAAATAACAATATGCAAATACAATCTTAAGCAAATAAAGAAGAAAAATTGAACATAATATAGATGATGAAATATGTGGTACCTGGTAATCTGAAAGTGTACTGTATGATGCACTGCGTGTATCACCCCAACGTCCATGTGGGAAGTCATTCCAGCCCTTTGTTCTAGATATATAGCTCTTTGGACGATTTGCCCTACAAAGATAAAGAAGAAGCAACAGTATTATTCCCTACGCAAATAGAAGTTAAAGATCTGTGAATAATAATCAGAGCAAGAGAAACAAAATGCAGGTTACCAGAAAATTGGGCGAACATCTTCCTTAGTACGGAAAACGTTTGCAGGGCGTCTCCAAGGTAGAGAACGAGAAATTTTTGACTCATCAATCAAACCAAGGTTCTGCAATTTGAGTACCACTGTTAAGTTCTCCGGGATACACAATATTGTGTGTTAAATATTACTACAAAGAAAACGATTTAGAAGGAAATGAGAAAGAAACCATTAATATCCCAATAGCTGATTTGTCCACGTTCAATGTGTAGAGATGAAGGGTAGTAATTCCATGGGCCAAAATCTTTTTGCACATTTCTGTTGCAAAGTGAATACCATAGGCTTTGACAGCCTCATCATTATCCTTAATAGGCTCTAAGGCAGCAGTGAGCTCAGCAGGTATCTATAGCAATAACAGCATGAGTGGAATATTAATCGAAGAAAAATGATAATCCCAAAACATTAGTCATAAGGCATCATCACAAGGGTCTATATATATCACCAAGCAACTAGATAGATGCAGTAAACTCAATCTCATCTTAAAGCCCTCAAGCATAAAGGCGATATTTTTATATAGAGCAAGCCATATCATCACAGATGTAAGAGATCACAACATATGTACCTTGGTCTTGCAGAAACCAGCCATACGCAAGAACCCCTTGTAGTTGGAAATGGGCATAATTCCAGGGACAATGGGACAATTTATCCCAATTTGCCGACAATCATTCACAAATTTGAGGAATATATCAGTATCATAGAAAAGCTGAGTCACAATCAAATCTGCTCCAGCATCAACCTGTTCCACAAGCCACAACCCAATAAACCCATCAAATCAAGACAACACAAGAACAATTCAACACATAAAATGCAAAGCCAAAACACAAATTTTGAACCTTTTTCTTCAGGTAAGCAAGATCACTCTGATAAGATTCAGGAGTAGCAAGTCCATCAGCTTCAATAACATCCGGATGAGCCTCTGATACAAAATCCCAATCAGAGAAACAAAATCAGAACAACTAACACAATCCATTAATGAAAATTGATTAAAAGGGGAAATTTTGATTACCAGGATAACCAGCAACAGTGATTCCAAAGTAATCACCATACTTGCTTCGAATGTGATTCACCAGATCCAAAGCACAAGCAAATCCTCCTTCAACCTGAACAAATTTATCTTGTCCATGAGGCGGATCTCCTCTAAGCGCAAGCACATTCTGAATTCCATTAGATCTAATCGTCTCAAGCGCGTGGTCAATCTTCTCAATCGGCATGTTGGTACAAGTGAGATGCATCATAGTCTCAACGCAGATAACATTCTGCATCCTAGAAGCGATCTCGAGAGTGAGATCAGCGGTGGATCCTCCGGCACCCCAAGTGATATCGCAGAAGGTAGGTCCGTAAGAGACCAATCGATCCATTCGTTCAAAGAGATTCTCGACGCCATCCTCTGTCTTGGGTGGGAAAAACTCGAAGGAGAAAGCTGTTTGGCCTTGCTCCGTCACGGATTTGATCTTATCAACCACCTTCATCGTCGAATCGAAATGAGATCCAAATCCAAATCCAGATTCGGAACTAGATAGGTAGGAAGTGGTGGTGGAGAGGCAAGTTTGGTCTCTCTCTTTACTCACTCTTTTATACTAAACTCTTAATATGAAAAGAGATCCAACAACTTTGGTGCTAACCGGTAAAACTTAGATAAAATTATTTATCAACCGGTTTTTTCAAAAAAAAATCCAGATTTATCACATAACTTATGGTATCACATTTTTTTCTAAAATTGCTACAACTTTTTCTTTGTGCTAAAATACATAATTAAAATATTAAAAAAACGATAATATTTTCCCACTTTTGGAATTTTATCTAATTTTATCTGCTTTCATATTTTCTTGTTTTCCCAAATAGATACAGATATAAGAAAGAAAGAAAGAAAGAAAAAAATTAGTTAGGTAGGTGAGCTACGGCCCGGCCCCACATCACCTACCACCGGTAACGCCAATCCACTGTCGGTCACCGGCGCGTGGGATCAACCGCTACAACGGACAGTAGCCTAGTGATATAGCATTACACCATATAGCTTTTGCAGCCAAGGAGAATCACGTGCTTAAAAAACTCGATTTATAGACAGAACAAACCGGGTTGAAGAAGAAAAAAGACAGAACAAACCGGGTGATTGGTTATAGTCAGTTAATAAACCGGGTATGAGATTTTTGTCTCTTAAATAACCAAACCCCGGTTTAAAATCCAAAACACCTTTTTTCTATTCTTTGGTCCAAAGATTCCACATACAATGTACTGAACTACTGAATACTGATTCGAGTTGGATATACATACAACAATAATGTCTAAAACTACCTACCAACCGACACGGTTTGGTTGGTTACTAGAAGAGATCATCAATTCAAGTGTAATCTTATATGTAGGGAATGAAATCAGACTTGGAGCAATATCAAGCAGTTACATTAATCATCCAAACTTCTCTGCACATGTCGATAATCTCGGTAACACCATCCTCATACATGACCTGGACAAAGATAATGTATATTCTTTAGATTTCGTAAAATGAGATAGAAGGTGAACAACAGAGCTGGGTTTTAGTCAAGTGGATACCAAGTGCTTTCTTGAAAACTCATAATATTGTGTAATAATTCCAAAACACCTGAAACTATCAAACACTACAGTCAAAAACTACAACTAAATGACTGCAGAAAATGCGTATTGTTCTTTGGTATGGAAGAAATTGGCAGAGGAAAGAGAAAGATAGTTATACTTCTGGTTCATGGGACGTGCTAACCAGATCACCGCACCAATGCAGTCCCGGCAACATATTTTCCTCTGGCTATGTATGGTTGTTCCAAGCTTGTCCTGACGCATCCAAATTGGTTTCTCTTACCTCTGAACTGAGAAGTGTGTCGATGATAGAGCCAAATACAATTAATACTAACCGGCAATGCGTCTCCCTCGAGTTTTTCCCTAACCATATGTTTTGAAATAATAAGTTACTGTTTAGCATCACAAATCACAGGATGACTAAAAAGTAAGGCAAAGTTCAAATTTTACCTTGGGCGTTTTCCAGGTCAATTTACATGCCACTGGTTTCACAGCTTCTTCCAAGGTTGTCTTCTTAGTTTTGCTAGGTTTTGCACCTAGCTTTTTTCTGCAACACACTGCACCACAGTAGCAATCTTGATCTGCACCAAACTGAACAAACCTGCTATGTTTATTAGTATCACAACTTAACATTTACTATCAAATATTTTATTGATGTGAATTGTGATGCAAGGAAATGTTCTTACTGGTAATCGTATGTCAACTGCTCGCCTTTGTTAATGAAACGGGTAGCAAATATGCCGATTCTTGTCTCTCCATCAATTATCCTAAATGGAAACAAAGAGATTCATAATATATAACTGTGATCAACTGTTTTGATCAGATCAGAAAAGTGAGAAGATGGATAATAAGTTAGAAACAAACCATTTCTGCATCTCTGTATTAGGGTTGCAGCTGTGATTGATGTATCTTGATTTATTACCCTTATGAGTAGCATCAATCACCATGTTCCAGTTAATCTGACACAAATAGAAATTTGTCTCGACCTTATGATTCAGCTTCCAAAGCCTTTCTCCACAAGTCTTTTCGTCAATAACTACAATAAGTAATGGACATATAAGAAGATAGATAAATAGCAGAGTAATCACAACAGTACTTATATTGAGAAACCAAATGTAATCACATCACCTTCCCCAACATATTCAATGATAAACTCTCCTGATTTGATATCTTCATCTGCTACAATCCCATATCCACATTTCTCTGTCTACAAAAAACAACTTATTCAACAAGCCTTAAAAATGCATTCTTTATAAGCCAACTTAATTTGTACTAAACCAACCTGAACTAACTTCATCTTCTTGATATGTCGTTGTTGAAACGGCTTGTTGGTGCATTCACTACTGCATTTGCAACTAGAAGAACAGCTTGAGAGTAGAATCCTATACACATCAAGGAAACAACAAACTTCAATCACTGTCAACAATCAAAACCAATGCAGACAAGAATGTTTAGTCAGACGAGTATTTGGAACATACCCACAGTTGCAATCACTGCCACAAATAGTTGAAGAGCCAGGATCCAAGGAGCAAGAACAGAAAATGCCATGATCTTTAACTCTCTTCTTGAATTTCTTCTTCAAGTATATATCTTAAAACCAGACTCATGTGAAAACAAATAAGATTTGTGGAAAAGTAAAACAAAAAAATTGCATCTTTTGTAACAATAGAAAAAGATACTGCGCTTGATGAAGACAGGCTTGCCCTTGTTCAACCGATCCGGAGGAGATTCAAGTTTCTCCAATTCCCCAATCTGCTTTTTCAACTTCCTCAACGATTTCTTGATTTGATTCCGATCGGAACCCTAAAATTAGAGAAAAGTAAGATCATACGAAACATAAAGTCATAAAGAAAAGAACTGAAGATTTTGATCGAACGTAACCTTCATGGAGGAAGACATGGCAATATAGACCGGAGTAATTGGGAGAGTTCTAACTTTGATGTTAAAACTTTTCAAACCCTAATATTTGTAGAGAAGAAGAAGATGATGAATTAGTAGTGGCGATCCGATTTGCAGAGAGTGAAAAAACGTAACGGAGAAAGAGCGGCAGTTGCTGTTTTTCCTTTTGTGGATTTTGAAATTCTTCTGCGCAAAAGGCAATAAATCGGCTTAAAAGGGTAAAATAGTAATATCGATTTCTTTCCAATAACCGTTTGAAACAGAAATGGGCTTCCGATTATTGGACTGGCACAATACAATCAAACCCATTTTTTGGTAACAAAATAATTATATCAAATCATTAATTTATTACTAGTCATTTGCATTTATTCCAGACCATTATATTTATATCATTCACAATTGCCAATTGGTAACAAGATAATTACTTCTTAGCGTAAAATGGATATTTTCTGTATATCAAAGATATTCAACGCAAGAAGAATTTTTTAATTCACTATTATTATTGAACAATATTCGATTTGCTTTATTTGGTTTAAGTCGCCGGTTTAATTTATTTGGTTTAAGTCGCCGGTTTAATTTAGTTAGATACATTTGACAAATACGAAGTACACTAGTGACAAAATTATACTGCCAATGGAAAAACAAAAAGTCGGAGATTTCAGCGAATGACAAAAGTATTGAAATATCCTATAAATATGAATAGTAATTGGGTTACAATATCATGAAGTCTATAAAAAAAAAAACCTAATTGTTTAAATAGCAAAATAACTATATTGATATGCTATTATATAGGCTACATACTAACCTAAATAAATAATTGATAATTAATTTTAAAAAAAATAGTTGCAACATGATAAAAAGTTATGCATTAGAATTGGATGGTGCAACCCGTCCTCGGTCGGCGGTATACCAACTACATACAAGTAAGAAAAGGATTATGATAACAAAAATCACGAATCCAATTGAACCGAGGAGTTGGAGTAGACCAAATTTCTCCTCCATTTTGTTTCTTCAACACCAAAACTTGTTCTCTCTAACTTTTTTCTTGTGTCTTCTTCTTTCTAACAAGTTTTTTTTTTGCATAACAAGAGTAATAGAGTATATATACAAATCCTAATTGCTTTTATCTCCACAATTTGGCGAATCAAAATAACGAAAAAAAGTTAACATACCAAAATCGAAATATAAAAATAAGAAAAGTTAACATAACAATATGATGGATATATACAATCCTTTAAAGTCATAAGCGAAATTATGTATATTTCTTAATATTCTGTATATCAAGATATCCAACGAAGAAGGAATTTTTTATTCACTATTATTATTGAACAAAATTTGATTTGGTTTAAGTCTCTGGTTTAATTCTGGTTTGCTGCTAAGCATTTGCCAAACAACCGAGTACGTTCTATATCATTGAGTTGCTGATTAGTGATTTACGCAAACTTCGATTTGGTATTGACCGATTCTAATTCCGGTTTGGTTCTTAGTTTTGTTAATGATTTAGCAAAAATCAAAGTATTTTAGGATTTCAAAGCAATTAATTCGCAAGACTTATTTCTTTCATTATATTCAAGAAAAGTTTGTCCTTGAAATAATGACTGAAAAACAAAAAAGGAAGAAGTCACTAACATTATAGTGATCATGATGTTATTAGCCTAAACTTTGTATCAAATTTACAATAGACTTTGTGAAGAAGAATAAGAGTTTTTTTTTTTTTTTTTTTGCTTATTTAATTAAACACACTGATACATTTGACAAGTACGAATTAATGACAAAATGATACTGCGAATGGAAAAATAAAAAGTCGGAGATTTCAACGTATGCCAATATTATTGAAATATCATTTAAATATAAATAATAATAAGCTTACAATATCATGAAATCTAAAAGAAAATAACTAAAAACATAATTGTTTAAATGGCGAAATATCTATATTGATATGCTATATTATATAGGTTACCTACTAACCTAAAATAAATAATTTATAATATATCAAAAATAAGAAATAGTTACTACATGATAAAAGTTACGCATTAGTACTAGAAGGTTCAATACGCTTTTTGGTGGTATAGTGACAATATGCAATAGACAAGATGAGTACGATAACAAAAATCACGAATACAACTATTCCGATGATTTGTAGTAGACCAAAAGCCATGTTCTTTCTTCTAACACACCAAAACTTGTTCTCTCTAACTCTTTCTTGCGTCTTCTTCTTTTTAAGAAGGTTACTTTGTATACAATGAGTAATAGAGTATATATACAAGTTCTAGTTGCCTTAACCCACAACTTGGCGATCAAAATTAACATAACAAAAAAAGTTAACATAACAAAATCGAAAGACAAAAAGAAGAAAATTTAACATAACAATAAGATGAAAATATACAATTCTTGAATGTCATACGCCGTTAATCTCTTTTTGATAGATCATTATTACACTAGCCTGAATCCTAATATTAAATGTTAGTAATACTTAAGGCCTAAATTATGTACAAACTGTACATTAATCAAACCAGAGAGATTATTGTAATGCGTTATTTAATTATTTTATTTTTAATATAAATTGTAATCTTCCATATTCGAAGCTTAAGATAATTACGTAAAATAGAGGAGAGAGAGCGAACACGAAACTTTATTTCGTAAGGTTACACGAAATCGATCTAACGCAATTTAAACTTCGTCTCCGTTAATTCGCACTCTCGTTCTCGTCTTAGTCGCCGGAGGTCTTATCTCCGTCGTATCAAGTCAGCCTCAACGATCCGATTTGTTTTTTTAGGTGATCTATCTTTATACTCTGCTAGAAATTCGAAAAGTTGTGAAAATTTCGTTCTCTGGATCGGATTATGAAACTCTCTGCGTTTGTTTAGTGGATAATCGAGCTCTTAGCCTTGTTCCTTTTGATTCTTATGCTTTCTGGTGTATATACGAGAGAATTAGTTGCCAATTTTATAGTTGACTGATTGATCAATTGAGATTACTGTAGATCCGCCCAGGAGAAATTGCGTGCATGATTTGGTCTCGAATTTCTATTGCTGCTGTGGATTTGTTCATTTTTGAGACTTTGCATATCGGATTTGAGTACCTTTATCTTAATCGTTGTGTTCCTAAATTCGAGTTAAGAGAGATTTGGGGCATATTGAAATGGAGTGTAATAGTGAAACAAACTCAGGGATTAAATTTCTTGGCTGATATAAACCTGTTGAAGTTTTGTTGGTTTATGATAATGGATTATAGAAGATAATGCATAAGCTCACTTTGGGAACTTATTCTGTTCAATTTTAGCCTGATCTAGTATTATCTCGTATGCTTCTTATTGCAGACAAAGGAAGGTAGATTCTCTGGGTATTAAGTTTTCTTCTATGAGACAGACATGTTGGATTTTGTGCTTAATGACTAGGTAATGAAGGCTATATGTGATAGATTTGTTCCTTCAAAATGTTCTTCATCAAGCACAAGTGAAAAGCGTGATATATCCCCGGCATCTCTAGTTTCAGATTCACCGTCTAGTGACGACAAGTCAAACTTGACGCTATGCTCGGATGTGGTTGCGTCTTCCTCCCCAGATTCTCAACCTTGTAGGGAAGCTTCAACTTCCGAGCATAAGCCAGTTTGCACTACACATAATAGTTGGACAGTTATTTTAAAAACAGCTTCTATGGCTAGTGGGGCAATTAGGAGATTTCAAGACCGTGTATTAGGGCCGAGTAGGACGGGTATTTCCAGCAGTACAAGTGAGATATGGCTCCTGGGTGTCTGTTATAAAATCTCAGAGGCTGAATCCTCAGAAGAAGCAGATGCTGGCCGTGTATTGGCTGCATTCAGACAAGATTTTTCATCCTTAATACTAATGACATATCGTAGAGGTTTGTATGTTCCTCCCCCTCAAACTCGAACCAGCATAAAACTGTTCACAGGATACTCACTGTGTTATTTACAGGTTTTGAGCCTATTGGAGACACAACTTATACTAGTGATGTAAACTGGGGTTGCATGCTTCGAAGCGGCCAGATGCTCTTCGCACAGGTAGTTATTATTATCTGGAGGCTTCAGATTTCTTTATGCATGGTCTAAAATTCTGTATCTTTAACAGGCGTTGCTATTCCAAAGGCTGGGAAGGTCTTGGAGGAAAAAGGATTCCGAGGTTAGCTGTGTTATCCAGTATATGTTCTAGTAACTGAATATATAACAACTAAGATAATAAATCTGGTTGATCATGAATCCAGGCCATTTATAATGAGCTTCTTTGGTTTAAAAATGCAGCCTGCAGATGAGAAATACTTAGAGATCTTAGAACTTTTTGGTGATACTGAGGCTTCAGCATTCTCGATTCACAATCTTATACTAGCTGGAGAATCTTATGGCCTGGCTGCTGGGTCATGGGTAGGACCATATGCTGTTTGTCGATCATGGGAATCATTAGCTGGGAAGAAAAAAGAAGAAACTGATGTTAAATACAAGTCATTTTCCATGTCTGTTCATATCGTTTCTGGCAGTGAAGATGGAGAGAGAGGTGGAGCTCCAATTCTCTGTATTGAAGATGTCACCAAAACTTGTATGAAATTTTCAGAAGGAGAAACTGAGTGGCCGCCAATTCTTCTCTTGGTCCCTCTGGTTCTCGGGCTTGACAAAGTGAACCCCAGGTTTGTGATTTTATCAAATCGATTTCTAGGCGATAAGTACTATATACATCAAAAATTTAGCTTTTATTGTCCCTCAGAAGATAAATTATCAGTCTTAAGGAAAAATTTATTGCTTTTAGTTTTATACACACAAATCTACATTTACAGTTTGGAGGGTATATAATGATAGCAAACTTTAATTGACTGATTATCGAACTTGGCTATGCAATCATCAAACCTTTCTGAAGAAAGAGACTAAATTTGCTCTCAGGTACATTCCGTCTCTGATAGCCACCTTCACGTTCCCTCAAAGCCTCGGCATTTTGGGCGGCAAACCAGGTGCATCAACTTACATAGTTGGAGTTCAAGAAGACAAAGGTTTCTACCTTGATCCGCATGATGTTCAACAGGTTTTCTTGAACACACTCCTTATAAATCTTTATTTTAAAATCAAACAAGAATTATTGTAGTTCCCAAAAAAAAACTTAACACTTTGATTTGAAGTTTGAGACATTTAAGGTGGTCCATATATATTTTCCTTATATTGTCTCCATCACATTCATTTATCTATGGTCTAATTGGTTTGGGGACTGATATCACTCAGTCCATGTGCTTCATATCATATTTCAGTCTCACTGATTGAGCCTTATCGGTAATGGTTGGTAGGTAGTGACAGTCAAGAAAGAAAATCAAGATGTTGACACATCGTCTTACCATTGCAAGTGAGTTTGATTGATCATTTTGCCTCATTTAGTTCTCTGTCTCTACATGCTTCATACTTCTTATTAGTCATACTAAATCTGCTACAGTACCCTCCGTTATGTTCCGCTTGAGTCACTCGACCCGTCACTAGCTCTCGGATTCTATTGCCAGGACAAAGGTATTACCAGTTTCTAAGATTGGACAATCCTATTTACGGTTGGATTTGATTTTGGTTCGGCTTTTCGGGTTTTATAGAAATTGTTACCAATCAGTCTGTAAACAAATTCGGATAAAACATATCGGTTTTGATTCGGCTACTTCCTCTTTCCTAACGCGGCTGTTTTTCAAAAGTCGAACTTGAACCTCTTGCCTTAGGTACACTGATATCTCTTCCTACATTGTAACACAGATGATTTTGATGATTTCTGTATCCGAGCAACGAAGCTAGCAGGGGACTCTAATGGCGCTCCTCTCTTTACTGTGACTGAATCTCACAGAACAAATGACTGTGGAATTGCAGAAACCAGCAGCAGCACAGTGACATCTACAGAGATCTCTGGTGAGGAACATGAAGATGACTGGCAATTACTTTGAACATTTTTACTAGCCATTCTATTTCATTGTGTGACTTTGTTCAATTATCAAAATACCATTCTTTTTACATCGAATACTAAGATTTGATGTTGTATAATAAAGAAAAATCCAGATTAAAAGTATCACCCATTTTCCCTTAATTTTTGTATTAACTATTTAAGTATTAACGTTGACTTAAGTCAAAGTATTCTACAACAGAGATTCATGATTCTTCAAGTTGGAATCTTCAAACGTAGATTGAAGAACACGAGAAAGGAAGACTCGAAAAACCAGAGGGAGTGTTGACGTGGCTCCACTTCCCGCCATTTTTCTCCGCCGTCGTCTTCATCATCATCGTCCCACTTTCTTCACCACCACCGCCAATCATTGCCACAGCCTGGCCACTCAAGCTTCCTGCGAAAACCGATGTCATCGTCGTCACCGGAAGCCGAATCGTCTCCACAACTACCTTCCATTTCATCGAATCGTCCTCAATTTCCCAACGAGGCTGACTCTGTCTCTCGCTATCAATAAAACACCACAACCGACAACCTCTAAAATCTCCGGCGGATTCATCAGCAGCCGCGGCGGTGCGACCTCTCGGACTTAAATCAGGAAACGGCCATACATTTTCGATTGTCGACCATGAATTCGTAATCGGATCGTAAATCTCGCCGTCAGATCGAAATTGGCCCTGCGTCTCCGTTCCGTAACCACTCAACACACAAAATCCAAAATCCGTCGCCATCGAGAATCCGTGACACTCGTCTCTTCCTTCCGTCATCGGAGGAATCGTCGACCACTCATCTTTCTCCACATCGTACACCTCCGCCGATCGGAGAGCGTTCTTCTGATCATCATGACCTCCGGCGACGTAAACCTTCGTCGTACCAACAGAAGCGCAAGCAAAAAACGATCTCGCCGCCGACATCGGCTTCCCTCGTCTCCACCTCCGTCCGCTTCCTTCTCCGGCGAAGAAATCCAAAACATACACATCTCTCACAGGCTGCAACGTCTCCGGATCCCAACCGCCGATTAACAACAGTTTCCCCGCGTCCTGAATCGCAACGCACTCGCAGAACAAAGGAATCCGTTCAGGAATCGCGACTCGGTGCCACGTGTCCAGCGTTGCGTTATAAACGCTCAAACCGTAAAGTGGCGTTCCAGTAACACGCGGCTGCTGCGTCATCTGAGACTCGCCTTCTTCTTCCACTTTCTTCTTCTCACTGATCTCACCACCGTCAATCATCACCGGAGATGGTGGTGAAGTCAGAGGTTGAACAAGACAGAGTAGAGATTCAGCTTTACCAAAACTTATCCGTTCCTTGATAAAAGAACGACTGGAGATAACGCATTTCCATGATCGGCAAACAGAGTTCATGGAAGAATGAAACTCAAAAGGAACTCTAACCAAACACTCAATTGCTAATTCCTCTGGTAATCCTGGGATTAAATCTCCTCTAATCTCACCTGATTTCTTCTTTGACACTCCCATTATAACTTAACCTACGAGACCTAAGAAGCTTCTTGAAACAGATTCTGTGATTTTGATAGATCGGAAACTGTAAGAGACACTCAAGAAGATGCGATTGGTAAAGAGAAGTGGCAAAGAGGCTTTTATAAGGAGATAAGAACTGAACAAGACGGTCCCTAGATAATTATCATCCTTTTTTTTCTTCTATACAAATAATTCTTATATTTTATTTTGTTCTTGATATTTTCCGAAAACAAACAAACAAACAAACAAGAATACAGTAAAATTACGAATTCAAACCATAGAGTAATCTAGACACTAGACAAGTAGTCTACACATAATTTTAAAATACAAGTATTATTGTTCAATTTGGATCACACAAAAACTTTAGGATAGGGCGGAAAATCCAAAACAGACAATGTTTTAAAATTTGTACTGGGAAAAAACGACAAATATAAACGCATTTAATTAGTCGGCGAATATGGCAAATTTTATTTTTGTATCATATGCATGAATCTATAATCTCTTGAAAAAATCTTTTGAATGACTAGTAATAATTCATATATATCTTCGTTGAAGGACCACGCAAATTTTCTTCAAATTATTACTCGTAATTGTCTTTTTAGATGTAAGTAAAAGGTAGGCATTCAATTATGTGAAAATGCCGTGAGGGATTTGATTCACTCAAAATCGTACGAGAAGATCTATCATGTTTATAATAATTTTTAGATAACTGTTGGATAAAAAAAGGTTCTAGAAGAAAGTCCATGTGGATACGATGACTTATCTTCTTTCTTATCCGAACTATCAGTACGGTGACACATGGACCATGCACCGTCGTCGTTACGTCCCCCTCAATTTTCCCAAAATAAATATCATCGATCATCTTACATCTACTTCAATAATTGTATCCCAAATAATAAAAAAATATCATATTCCCATTTAACGAATAACGATTTTTTTGCAGCTTTACAGTGACTTAATTCTCATTTGTAAGAAGAGCCTTTTAAATTCAGATATCTTCGAGGTTCAATCTCTTATACTATTTTTTTTGGTGCTTCAATCTTTTATACTATTAATATAAATATAACTTTGCTCTAAAACATTGACTGAGCCAAAACGAAACAAACCCGAACGATGCGATGCGGGGACGAGAAGAGACATTGAACATTATCCAAAATAATGCAATGAATGAGAGTGGGATCATAAGCTGTGACAACATTAAAGGACATGCTCTATTTCAGCCAATCCCCCTAACTCCTACCATCTGCCTACCTTTTTTTTTTTTTTTTTTTTTCTCTCCCATGATGATATTCCATTAAGATACGTACGTCTCTTAGAGCATGATTATCCAAGGGCTCTTAATAATACTTCTTAAGAATATTTAAGTAATATTTTTTTTGTTCCACCTCTTAACATTTTTTGTTTGTTCCTTAGCTAAGAAACACTTCTTAGCTTAAAGACACTTTTGGGAATAAATATAATCAATTAAATGCTAACATAATTTTAAGATTTTCTTAAGAGACTACCTATAATCATGCTCTTATAAACGTGTTCTTTACAAACAAAAATTTCCTTTTTGATAAGAAAGATTTACAAACGTATCTTTAAAAAGGTTTTGTGCCCTGTTTTAAACATGGTCTATGTACAGTTATTTATTATTTTCCAAGATTAATAACAAAGAAATCTTTTATATAAATGTTTTATAGTTTCATTCATTTTTTCGATTTAGTAGTTTTATCATTTAATTAGCTTTTCTGTTTATGACTAGTATTTTTCACTTTATTTTGTGTGTTTACAACCAAATTATCATGGTTAGTTAGTCTCATGTATTGCTTCCAATAATATGAAGTAACTTTTGAATAGTTAATGAATTATATCAACGTTGGACCGAAAATCAGGTCTTGTCTCTTTATCTCATCGTTTCAGACGCAGTGGCGGACCCACGTAGAAGGAAGGGATGTCAGTTGACCCACCTTAAATTTATATATTTGATAGTTTGGTTAATACGTATCGTGCATTGTTAGCTGATTTGGTTGACAGTTTAGAGTTTGGCCCCCCATAATCCTTGGTTCGAATCCATGACATGACTCATCGACTTTCTTTTATTATTTTTTAAGTATTTGGCGTAGTTTCATCAAATTTTCTCTGGTTTTATTTGATGTCTATTAAATTTTGTTTATTATTTAAACAAATATTTTTTAATCACAGAAAATAATAAAAATTGTCTCAAAAGCAATATTTTAAAAATTATCTAGGTATCTTTGGTTTAAATATGTTACTTTATATAGATGACTAAAATTGTTGACATAAATCAGACGGATGAGAAAAACAGTTGATATCATGTATGTTTTGAAAGAACATATACTACTCCAAAATATACGAAAATAGATTTCTGTTTTAGTTCGTTGAAGAAACTGGATTAATTTCTCCAAGATAAATTTTATGGAATAAGAATTGAAAACGTGCAAATGTTGTTATAGTGTTCATTGATGGAAAAAAAAAAAGACTTCTCTTTTTAAAACGAGTCTAGCATGACAAGAGATTTTTGTAACCATTCGGTAATATAATTGTTGCATAAAAAAATGATTGTATTCATAAAAAAAAATAAACGAGAAATGAGCTGTGCTTTCTAGAAGAACATTGATATCTCTTATTCGTATATTTCGCCTTTAAGGCTGGAAACAAACGAGGGCGTACTCTCCTAGCCTCAAATCTTTCATGCCTTTTGGCTTTTCCCAATTAAGATTATACTATTTAGAAAACAAAACTATAGTAATCCAACAAAATTAGAATATTTAGATACGTAAGTATTCCTCCAAAAGAGCTAGAATAGGTGGTTTACCTTGTTAAGTATGAAAATGTTTATGTTTACAAAAAAAGCTAAATTAGGTGATTAGTTTTACTTTTACCTTGCCAGAAAAATAAATAAAAACAATGTGAAACTTAGATAAAAGGCAGACGAGATTTTTTAGGTTCTGTGAAGCCAAAACCACATGAGATCACAAATCCCTTTCTATTTCGTTTAGACATGCATAGAAGTTAAGTTACGCATACGGAAATGATTTTTAAAAAACGAGATAGTGTCGCCATGATAACTGCAATGCTGCTGGAACCCTAAACTTTATTAATGAACTAATGAAGCCAAATTAATTTTATTATATGATTAAGAAGTTGCCAAGATTCGTGTTTACTCTATAGATGACAACAACATTAACATTTTTCAAACAGTAGTTGATTAAACTAAATAAAATATTGATATATAAAATGAGTTACAACAGTAAAGACAGCAACGACCTTCGCTTTGTCTGATTATTAAAACAAGTCCATGATAAGAGGAAGACCACCAATGGCAAAATAAAATGCTATAGAAAAGGCGGCAATACAAAATTGTGGCGACATTATGAACTTGCTCAATAAGGGAAAACTTTTTTTTAAAAAAAAAGGGGAGATTAAACAATCAGAACAAATCTACAAATTTTGACTATAAATAGATCACTACACATATGGATTTGTCTCATCGAAGTAAAGTTTATTAAATTGAAAGAGAAAAAATTAGTCTTATTAAACGCAAAGCATTTTAAAGAAATGGCAAAGAACCTCAACTCCGTTAGTTTCACCATTCTCTTGCTTGTTCTTTTGATGGCTTCCACCGGTATGAATTTAACGAAGTTCTCTATTATATACTTTTCATTTGTGTGTAAATGTATATATATTGCTGATGAAATTTTTTAATGAATATGTCAAAAAGTTACACTTCCATAGATAATCTTTTGCTGATGAAAACAATGAATATGTACTCAAAATGTAGAAATCCTGGAGAGCGATGCTGCATGTTTCACGTTCTTAGGCGAGTGCGGGCCGGAGCCGTTTACTGGTTCAAATGCTGATTGCTTGGCCTGTTGTGTAGCACTCTACAAGAGTCCACCAGTTTGTGCTGGACGTGTTGAGGGAAACCCGGCTCACTGCCATTGCTACGTACAAATCTTAAAGAGGTTTACATAACCTCTCATATAATTTACCATGTGTAACTTTTGTTTTCATTCGGTACTGTGAGGACATTTCATCTCTGTATGTTAATGTTCAAGTTTCTTTTGCTTACAAATAAAACATCAAGGGCAAAGCTTGTCACTGCTTGCCCCTAAGTGTAAGCTCATGCATGCACTTTTCATTTGTTCTGAATAATAATAAACTCGTTTTGTGTTTGTGTTTAGTGCGGGTTCCTTATTTCATTTCCAGCTATATTCAAGTTTCTGTCACCAGAAATTCAACTCATTTCATTTCATATCTTAACCTATACTTCAACTGAGTATCCGATGACCATAATGTTAGGCATCTAGTCTAGAGTTAAGAATTGGAATTCTTTACTTTGTCTTTGACTTCGTTTGCCACGGAACTGTTAGGTGAATAAACGTCATTACTAATATATAATTTTGGAAGTCATCAACAAGGTCGTTGTAGTATAGTGGTAAGTATTCCCGCCTGTCACGCGGGTGACCCGGGTTCGATGCCCGGCAACGGCGTTATTTTTAATTTTTAACAATTTAAAATTAATTACATTTTAAGAGCAAAACAAATATTGGCTTCGCCCGGGTTCGAACCGGAGACCTTCAGTGTGTTAGACTGACGTGATAACCAACTACACCACGAAACCTTTTTATTCTTACCTTAAACAGGATATTTATTAAACCAAGTCGATACCGAATTGGCGAGTTGTTTGCTGCCAATGCCATTGCCTCTTGTTTTTTCAATCATCTCGAATTAAAGCCTCGAAAGAAGAAGAAACAAACTATGTAATTTACACAAAAACGAAAACCGAAGTACTGTTCTGTGTAGATCCAATCGAATTTAGATGAACCATACTATAATTTTGTTTAATTTACACAACCGCAACAATTATATCTATGTATAGAAAAGAAAACAACTATTAAGGCACTCTTGGTTAACTGAAAATTTCGTTGGTAAAACAAACATATTCAGCATCATTCTAACTGAAACTCTCCAAATGGGACCAAAAAAAAAAAATGTAAGCAGCTGAAAATGAATTGAGCTTAAAAGAGCATTTTAACCGAGGAATCCAACATTAAACGGAGACACATGGTCGTTAGTTGCTAAACATGAAGGATCATTCTGATTTTGTCTTCAAAGTTCAAACCAAAAAAGAACACGAAAGCAAGAGTCGGAAACAGAGAAATGAGCAAAACAAGCTTTAGAAAATCAACTAGAGAGAGAGAGAGCGTTCTGGTGATTCCTCATTCCTCTGCAGCACTTGCGGCACTCAGGTCAACACTTAGGTCAAGTTGCTGCAACATAAGATAAAACACAAAAGTTTTTGTAAAAGATGTCAAGGAAACCTGTGGGATTTGTCTTTCCATCCCATCAACATATATCGGTTGCGAATTTCAGAACATTTACCTTTCCAGTGATTAGAGTATACATGTTCAACACATCCGCAACAGTTGTCTCAAAGTGTGTTGTAGCATCATAGCTCTGTAAAGACCAAGGACAGGGTTAGATACTTAAAAATCATCAAACTTAAAGTAGGCAGTCATCAAATCTAAAGAGTCTCGCTCACCGTTGATATAAAGCAGTTGTCCAACTCTGGCTCGTTGACAGGCTCGTATCTATCATACATGTCGAAGAATATCTCATCCACAGGACCCAAAAGATCTGTTCCAGGCTTTAGTTCGGTTTGAGGGTTATCAGTCTCTGCATCTGTAGACACAAATGCAATGAATTTCCCCTTGGGAGCAACGTTGTGGGAGTACGAACAACAGAAGACATACCTGTCAGAGTGTAGAGGTTTCACAACATTAGACCCAACAAAAAAAGAAAGAGTAATGATTACATATGATGAAACAAACATCACTACGGCAAAATCATTCTGTGTATATGCAATTCAAGCTATGGACTAAAGAGGGTTCCTGAATAATATTACCTTCATTTTCCGGCTACATGTACGAAGGAAAATTTATAGCAAGCTTAAAAACGTAGCTCAAAATGATATTGAGATGGAGCTTATGCAACACAGAAAAAGAAAAAAAATGCACTAGGTATTTCAAGTCCTTTCAGCCACTTATCAAAGTTAAAGTTAAAAAACTTACATATCCGATTTGCGGGCCAACTGTTTCTGGGGTATGATGACCTGCACTGAGTGAGAATCATTGGTGTTTGGAATTGGGTGGCTCATAATGGCGATGGCCCGAGCAACTCTGCCAATCTTCCTAACCTGTTTGAATGTGATTAATCATCATATCATGAAACATTCCACACTCATGTATAAATAACAACAAAAAGGAATAGATTTTCCAAAAAATCCTGAACAAGACCGCAGGTCATCACACGAAGAGAAGAACTAGATGTGTGAATGAATATAAAAACTATGGAAATTAACCAACATAATGAACAGGCCAACGGCAAAAGTCACAAGTATCACGGACAGCTACTTACTTTATAATCGTCCTGCTCTCGTGGATAAGTATGGACACAGTTAAATCATAATCGAAAATTTAAACATGCTAAGAACTTCAATATTACCTTGTTCGGCAGGTAGGAAGGGTCACACACAATCTTTTTGCATTTGGCAGTCTCTCCCTCAGATGTTACACCAGTAACCTTACCTTCCTCGTCAAACTCTACCTGGCATAAGAATAACATTGCTATGTATGAGCACAGCGTCCCTCCAATAAAATATCACACCGCATTCCCCTCTTGCAGACTTGCACAACAAGAAAAAAAAAGAGTTGTCATGAAGACAAAGAGAAAATACCTTGCACTCAGGTTTGTTCAACATATATGTGCCACCATAGACAGCACTAAGTCGTGCAAATGCCTGAATACGGAGAAGATATAGAGAGAAGTCACAGAAGAATAAAAAAAGTAATCATCTAAAACTTGAAAAATTCAAACAAAAGGCAAAGATCAGAATGACAGAAAAACCTGGGGTAGTTCTCCCAACCCATAGAGAGGATAAATATATGGAGAGGTTCCTTGGAAACGTGCAAGAGATTCCGCATAGAGCTAGCCAGCCATTTAAAACAAGAATGTCAACTTAGCTGCTTCAGAACTAAATGTACAACTGTTATAACAAGGGAGACAAGTCTGACAAAAGTTTACCTTCATTCTCAGTACAGTATCCAAGGCAGGTTGATCGAGATGTTGGTCATTCGTGTGAAGTGCCACTGCGTGACCAATAAAGTCAATAGTGTTGCCATCAAGACCATATTTCCTGCCAAAGTGTCACATAAATGGTTAGACACGTATATCCTCACTTGAAATTCATAAATGCTAGAAGGAATTAGAACATCAGCCTTACGCAATCAGTTCCTTTGTTGTAACTCTGCTCAAATCCATTCCATCGTGTGTTTTTGGGTCCTTCTCATCGTATTCCTGAACAAAACTGAAAAACTTGCCGGCTCGACGTTTCTCAAATATACCCATGAGAGAAGATTTCAGGGCCTCCATAGGAGTAGCTGGCACCTTTTGAACCTGCAGGAAAAATTTCATCAACAATTTAAGAGTGTTCAGCAAAATGATTTCGTAAACTATCTGCAACCAATACATCAAATGAGAAGTTTTTACCTTCCCTTTAACGAAAACATAGCTTCCATCAACAGCTTTGAAGGACAAATACTTTGTAACATCTGTATGAATAAGGGTACGAACAAGCTTGCCATTTCCCATCATAAACTGGTCAATGGTATTGAGAGACAAGAGTTAGAAAATGGCATTGATAAAATTAGTATAAAAATAAAACGAATGGCAGCTAACTATAACACCTTAGGCATCATGTCAACATTGTAATCCCGGCTAGCCCCTAAATGCTCAGGAGCCTTCTCTTCTCCCCTGAACTTCTTCCAAAGCTGATTGAGATTAAGCGAAGTTGATTCTCCACCATAGTAGTCATTCCTGTCCATGTGAAGCACCTACTCGTCACATCCAGGAAACCAATGCGTTAGTAATCAGATCGTGGGAAAATTAAGAGGTCAATGAAACATGAAAACATATGTAAAAGCCCCAAAACATTTTCAATCATCTCCATGCTCAAACTCGATAATCACTTTCATCACATCTCATCATACATATCAAGATCGAAAACCTGAGCTCAGATCATACAATGGGAGATCTAATCTCACCGAGATCCGTTATTTGAATCCGGATCAAAGCAATTAACCAAAACGCGATCGTGAATTCAAAAGTTCCGTGAACAAATAAGAGAGAAGAAAAGGAAAAGGAATCGGGGAAAGAGAGGAAGGAGACCTTGACACCATCGACGGAAAGGAGACCGCTGAGGATACACTCCTTGAGACCGGTGCCGAGAACAATAACCTCGTACTCTTCATCCATGGCTGATTCCGAAAGTTTCGTAGAGCAAACGCGAGAGAGAGATCGATGAACGCAGAGAAATGAGTTTGGGAGATCGTCGAGGGAGATCAGTGACGAAGTCTATTAGAGGAAGCAAAAAAATAGATGCCTTGATTGTGGAATGGGTAATAAATTTTCGATGGCATAATCGTAAAAACATATAAATATATACCAAATATCTTAAATAATACTTATATTTGTTTTTCCCTAAATTAAGACATTATTTTTAAAAAATTGAAGCCATTTATAAATTTTCTTAAAATGAGTCAATGATACATATTTAAACTGGAACTTTATTATATGTACGGTATATTTTTGGGTCGACAGGTTAGTTATTATTTTAAAATTATAACTCGACAATGAATAAAATTAAAGTGATTTATTTTAAAGAATTGGAAGTTGTCAAATGCTTGATTTAGAAACCAAATTGTTTTAATAGGATATGTCCAATAATGATTTTTAAAAAAACTCATTTTTTTTTAAAGTAAGCAACTCAGTTACAAGTCATTTTCGTAGATGGGAAAAAAAAAAGAGTCATTTTCGTAGATTACAATAACAATAAATAAAGGACTAAGTATAGCATTATTAAAATCGAGATGATGATAACAATTTTATAACTATAGTTGTAATAATTTCAAAAGCAAATCATTTTCCGATTGATGTTGATACTTAATAATTTTAAATAAAAGAATATACTGTTTTTATGCAAGCTTACACGCATTATAGATGTTTTCTGATTTAAATTATTCAAATAATTGTGAGCCTATACGTTAGCAATGCTAAGTTAGCATCTACTAGTACAATTCTATTACATCATCATTCATTCAATACGTAACAAATGTAGTTATATGTTTACCAGTCATGACTGAAACGCGTTTAGTAATTGATGAATAAAAAATAAAACACGATTCAGTTGATACTATATTGGCGTTTTTACCTCGAATTTGTAGTATAACATCTGATATATTCTGAGCCCACAAGATTAAATATGTTTTCACAAATGAAGATGAATGCTGCAGGAATAAAGGTAAATGAAATATGATTAGTTAAATAAGAAAAATAGAGGAATAATTTTGTCTCATTAACCACATGGTGGTGGGCGAGTGGTTCTCGTTTGGTTGGAAGGATCGCCCTGTTGGTCTAGGCCAGGGATCGATCCTCCCCAGACGCAGTTTCGCTCTCTCACTCCTGTGGCCACCTGGGAATTTACCTGCGGACTTGCTCAGGCGCCCCAGACCACCAGTTTATCAGGGGGCCCTTAAGTGGAGGCTTAAAAATCCCTGTGACGCGGGCTTAGGCCCAGTGGGCTAGTCAGATCACTGTGTGGTCTGGATACTGGGTTATCAAAAAAAATAATTTTGTCTCATTGTTTTTTCTTTCTCTAAACAATGTGTAAGTCATATTGTTATGTACTTTGACTAGTGCAAAATGGTGAATTTAAACTAAATACAAAGTTACAAACGCTGAGTGTTTCTATATTTTGTGGTGACTCCAAACGGTTGGGCTGTCTTCAAATGAGTTACAAATTAAAGAGTCTTCGAATCTCATGTGAAGCTCAGCAACTTCTTTACTTGTTACACTACTATTCGTGAAGCTTCAGCTTGAGTTTCCAATGGACTTGATATAGGCAGCTGATGACTACCGTCTTTACTATGAAGAGACCATCCAATTCTTGCTTGCTCATGATATGCAGAAACTAAGATCCACCCATGCACAAATCAACAACAAATATTAGCTCTTGAGATTTGTGCATGTTGTATTTTCATCATAGAAGTTTGAGATGGCTATGACCTAAACGTCTAAAACTTTATGTTATTGAGCTCAAATTTTCTTATAAACTCTAATCGTGTTGTATACTTTTATCGTATATTTATTCCATAAAACTATATTGCAGAGTAAACACAATAATTTTGTAGTAAATTACTCTTTATGTTTCTAATTAATCAAAGTTTTAAGAAAAAAAAAACTTGTTTAAAAAATACATTTTAAAGTTTTCTATACGTTTTTTTAATTAATTATTGAGGATGAATTGTAAATTTCAAGAAAAATAATTAAATATCATTGGTTTAGAGTTATAAAATTATTAATTACAAAAATAATGTATTTCTTCTAATCAATTTTTAATAAAAGGACAAAAACATGCGAACATAAGTTGAATTGTTCGTATCAAAATTCCAAGTCGTTTTGTCTCCTCCATATGATTTCTAGTCATTAGTTTGAGTTCCCCACCCATAGATTCTGAATTACAATGGAAATTAACAGCGACAGAAAGAAGAGAGAATCTATAATTAGAATTAATAAACTAAAAGATTCGACAAGTGTAAATTAATCAAGAGAATAATCTTCTTATAAATATATACTAGGATATGACCCGCGGTATACCGCGGGTTAATTATTTGATTTTTTTATATTTTTTTATAAACTGATGAATTTGTTGTGTATGATATTTTTTTGTTGTACACCGCGGGTCACATGCGTTGTATATAAAAAATAAAAATTTTAAGTTGTATTTGTTTTGTTTGCTGTTTAAAATTGTATAATTAAATTTTTAATTGTTAAAATTCTAGGATTTCACCCGTGGTATATTGTCCCGTATTAATATCGATCCAAACCCGTCCCACCATAAACTCTTGTCCTGTGGAATTAAACATCATTTTGTTATTTTTTTAATAACACTTTTATTTAAAAGATATATAATTCGAGTCAATTTAAAAGTTTACTTTCAAATGGTTTCCATAATATATATATTTTAAAATTAGTATGTGTTTTCGGACCAACCCGTAAAAAAAATTTATAATTGTATCTTAAAATACTAAATAATTGTATTTTGATTTGTTAATTTTAGGATCTAACCCGTGGTATACTGTCCCGTTTTATATAATTGTAGAAATTAAGAAAAGATCTGAATGACTCAATTTCGGGTCAGAATAAAAAACGATTTGATTAAATGTGCAATTTTTTCTTATAAAAAATGTTAATATAGATTACGCACATATTTTTTTTCTTCATCGATTGAGTAATATATGTCTGTTTTAAAAAATTTGAATCATAACATATGCAGAAAAAAACCTAAAATTTATTAACAATATATATTTTATAATAATTCAAAATAATATAAATATAAGATCAAATAAAAGTGAAATGAGAATCATATATTTATGTTTAAATTAGGTAGAGAGGTTTTAGGAAATTAGCTCAAATTTGTTATATTATCATTAAATTATCATATTTGATTTCCTAATCTATAAAAATTGTAAAGAATATACCATAAATAAATAGTTTAGATATAGTAATTAGTTGAAAAAATATATTTAATTTAGATTTTATTAGGTATTTTCGTTTTTTAGTTTGCCATAATTTAAGGAAAGATCCGATTGAAGATTTCCGGGTCAAAATCTTTAAAAAACCCGACCCGATTAGAGGAGCAAATTTGTACTTCAAAAATGTTAAGTAGATAATAAAAAACAGTACTTTTTAAAATAATCAATTAAATAAAAAATTCCGTAAAATAAAAAACCAGAACCCAATGCACAGGGTTTTTCTCAGCCTCTCTTTCTCTCTCTCTCTCTCAATGGAACTCTTGTCCAGGTTTCACCATTTCCTCTCTCTTATTCTCTTCTATGGTTCATGTGCTGTTTCTTCTGTATAACGCAAATTACGTTGTTCTTTGCTCTCTTCTGATTCTCGATTCGTTTTTTTTTTTCTTTTTCTGATCGGGTGTCCGATTTGGTGTTCTCTGTTAATCGAATTGGATGATTTTGCTGATGATGATGTATTGTTTCATTTTTAGGGTTTGTTGTTGATTTCTTATGCCATGTTCAAGAGATTGTGCGCTTAAAGGAAGGCACTGTGGGTGTATTCTGATAGGGATCAGTGCTGGGTTTTTGAGTTTCGTCCTTTGATTTTGTAGATTTCGATGCTTCTGATGAGACCCTTTTTGGTTCTTGTGATTCACGCCTAGTGATTTGTTTCTAGCATTTTTGGATACTTTGGTTCTCAAAGCTCTTGATTGTTGTCTGCAATTCACTGGGTTTTGGTATCTTGATCTAGCCTGCACTTTGGAGACATCCGAAAGAGCATACAAGGATTGGATTTGCTATAGAGTATTGTAAATGAGATAGATTTTGTTTAGTGGGTCTCTTGTCCGATAGCTTTTGGATGAATAAGCTTTGTGTGGTTCTTTTTTGAGTTTGATTTGGAAAGTTACGATTTGAGAAGGATGGAGAAAGAAGGTCTGTGTGATAACATCAAGTTAAGTGATCAGATGTACCCTGATGAGCCTTTCTGTTCCGAGATGAAAACTGAAACCATTGCTTCATCTCAGAAATATGAAGGAGGCGAGGGGAGTAATGTGGTTTTTTCGAGAGAGGCACCTTTGATAGGAAAGGATCCAGCTGGAACTAATTCGGGTGAATGCTGCGGTTGTAGTGCAAAGAAACTAAATTTCAAAGGGAATGATGATCTCATTGAAAAGGAAAATATTGAGCAGCTGAAAAAGCTTAACAGGCAAGAAAGAATCGAGTTGGGACGACTCTTCCAAGGCGCTGTTACCTCACTGGATTGGGAACTTGCTGACAGATTGATTCAGTTGGCTGATCCACAGACTTTGAATGATTTGTTGTGTGTTGGTCTAGATTCAGTTTGGTTCTTGAGTACAAAGCCTGAGTTTCAGGGGATCACTGGATTGATTAAGAAGATCATATGTCATGGGGCTCATGACTTTACCAGAGCTACTCTTAGGACTTCGTTTCTCGCTTCATGTGTCTCTGCTTGCCAGAGCCGGACAATGAGTCTTGCTGATACAGTAACTGTTATGGCTCAAAGGTACAGATGCGATTCTTTAATTTCTCATAAGTATAATTTTAACGCAGTTTTGGGGTGCTTAGACTGGTTGGCTGTTTCTCTCATAAGTATAATTAATCAAATGACACTGCTAAAATTTGTGGGGATTGATGCTGCTAAATGTCATAGACAAAAAAAATTTGCTTAACAAAACTTTAAAACTGTTGTTTTAACTTTTTTCATCCGAGTTCATATTTGGTTTGTACA